TTTAAACTGCAAATGGGGGTAGTTATCTATACATACTATTATATGCTTTTGATAAATTACACAAAATAAGAGCTCAAAATTTTGGAGAAAATTTCATAGAATATGTATCTATGTATGCATGTCTTCTTCAAAACCTTTAATATTGTAAGGATTTTCTAATTTACTAATTCTGATGACTATTCATAATGTTGAATTTGGATGCCTGCTGTACTTTTTAACCGTTTGAACAGGAAGAAGAAAGGAGGAAGAACATGATTAGTAGAAGCAGCTTGTGCACTGGTTCAAATCTTAGTCTCTCCTCCAATCCCACGTCTGGCTATAGCAGCAGTAACACAGTGTCGCCTGACATCAGTTCCAAAGAACTGGTGAGTCTGCATTCATTTCTGTTAGGCTTGTGCCTTTTTCAAGACTTACCTTGTGCATCCAACCTGCATCCTAGGTTGCATTTTCCCTTTTTGTAATATGTTGGTGGAGAATCTGTAAAACTGGATTTTGCAAATATCTTGTTCTTGAAATGACCACTATTCAGAAGAATACAATGGAAGCCACTTCAGCCAGACACAAGTGCAGGGTGAAAATTGTAATTTGGATAAATACTCTTATGTTCTATTAACTGGACTATCGTTCTGTTTAGATATTCTGCTTAGAGCTATCAATTGTGTTTATATTTAGAACAAAATGAATCCTGCTCCCTGTCAGATGGTCAGCAGAGGACGCAAGGCTTCTCGAAATCCACAGCTCTATTCAGCACAATCTCTGTCATCTATTAATATTGAAGCTTTCCTTGGTGAGTATTTGTGGTTTGAGGATATGTAAAGGATAACAGAGGGTTAGGTGGTATTACGTGCAATGAATTTGAGTAGACATTATTGGGCGTCTCAGCTCAGTGCCTTGTGAGTTTGAACGAAAGGGAACACTTTTGTTATATTGCAATATAATTTTCATTTAGGTTACTCTTTTCATGTCAGGAGGACATCTCAAAGTGCTTTACACAGCTGGCTGATCACCCAAGTTGGGGGGAAAGGATTATCAAAAACATGATCAGAGTTAAGGCTTTGAAACAGGATAAAAGGGGACTCCAGAAAGTGGAGGCAACATGGCTGAAATCTTACCCACTAACGGAGGGGCTGATAGGGCCGGGATTATGAGCAAAGGGAGGCGCTGTGTAGATAGAGTTGAGTTAGGCAAGTCGAGCCCTTGAAGGATTTGAATGTGAGGCTGTGAATCTTGAAATCAGTGCGCTGGGGAATCGGCACAAGCTGCAGAGATAGCTTAGGGAAGAGCTGGGGAATCTGGCAAGGGGGCATTGGATGAGGATCTTTGCACTGAATTGTCAGTCGCACCCAGAGGGGCCACAACACAATATTATGCAATTGTTGTGGGAAAAAGAAATAGAAAGACCAATGAGAAAATATGGGCAAGCAGTTAGGGAAGAGCAATGTTATGTGCATTTGTTTTCTTGTAACCGATGCAATTTATCTATCAATTTCAGGGACAACGAAGGATCACAGTGTTAGTGCACAGCCACTTAATGGTAGCAGTCCTACAGCAAGCTTGGGCTGCCTTAAATATTATCAGGATTTAGCAACTCGCACAACAGCATCTTTTAAAGCAGAAGTGAGTTTTCCAGCCTTCCAACTAATCGCTGTTTACCTTTATAATACAATAACCCTTGTATTTGATATAGCACTTCATGGATTTCTATAATGTAGTGTAGCGACTATCTATTTGGAAACAAATGTAGCAGCCAATTTGCACACAACAATCAATGTTCCATGAAGTGAATGAGCAAGTGAGAATTTGGCCGGGATACTGCGAGAAAAGCCCTTCTCTTTTTGAATAGTGCCTTTTAACTGAACAGTTAAATATTTTTACCGACTGACTCCAGGGAAGAGCTAATTGGTCACATGTTTAAGGGGTATTGCCTATGAAATGAAAATCCAGGTCAGTTAGTAAATTATAAACTTTATTTTCAGATAGTGGTCGCGTCGATTAATGATCTCGGAAACCTTCTGAATGGCAAAGCAGCAGCTGGCTGGAAGTAGGTGATTTTCTTGAATGCAACTTTTTCAATCTTCATTACCTTTTTGAATACACATACATTTATTTGTTGAATACGAGCACACACTAAACATTTGTGACATCTGCAGGAATTTAAGTAGTTAATTGTGTGCATTAGATACCACAGCACAGAAAAAGGGATCCTGATGTTCTATAAGAAATATGCATCTGCAACGAAACATGGATTTATGGGAGTTGGCGTGATTGAGAAGCCATTGCATTGTGTGTGGTGTATGGTGAAAGATCACAGCAAGAGGCGGCTTTATGACGAAACAATTAAAACCGTGCAAGTACACAAGCAGCTGGGAGGTGGCATTCAGCTTGGTAAGTGATGACCTTGATCTGCGAGAGAAAGAGTGAGTAATTTCAAAACAAATCCAGGTTGCACAAATTGAGCAACTGCTTGACTTCAGGTTTCTTCTTTGGAATTAGCTCTTCCAGACCATGGCTTTGAGGGATTATGGACTATCATGTTGACCACCAAGTAAAGTTAGAACTTCTTCTGTCCATGGTGTAGTCACTCTATGGACTCATGGGAAGAATTTGTCTTAGTTTGCCTGGAAGGCAAGTTTCTAGAGTCTAGTCCGCTCACGATGCAATCTGATTGTGTTTTCCAACCTGATTTGAAAATGTCAGTGTCCGATTAGTATCTGCTGTGGGTTGGTATTGGAGGTACCTTCGTATATTCTTTGTAGATCATTGTACGTTTGGGCCTTTTCTTTAAAATAATATTCATTAACTCTTTGAATTCTGGGTATATATATATATGTAAATTTATAGTTTTTTCTTTGTTCTAGTTTATCTTGTGAACGACACCTCTGTGTGCTACCTTAACCAACCAAGAGATTTCTGCTGTATCAGTGTGGAGACGAAAGAGGTAAGATTGATACAAGAATAATACCTTATCTTCACAGTTCAACACCTTCCATTGCCACTCATGGAGCTTCAGGACAGACAAGAGTTGAAATCATTTAGATCTTTACATTCATTAGAAAGTTTGGGCCATTTAATAGAAGGGAAATAGAAGTTACATTTGGCTGATAAAATTAAATGTTTTAATTTGTGGTACTTTTTTTTCATAAACTACCATTAACCAGTTTGTTATGAAGAACCCATTTAGTATTGGAACAAATCTTGCTCACTATGCTCTTGCAATTTTCGATGTACACAGTCCAGTTTAATAAAATTCAGCAATATTCGAATGCCTGACTGAAAGAAGAGAGCAGATGCATTTTGTGTCTTTGGTTTCATCTCAGGTGGGGAGTTTTGATCAAAGTGTCTGAATTCATCAAGGGGTTCTCTTTCCACAGGAGCAGCAATACATTTTGGCAATGCAGTCTATCCATGAGGAGTCAATGCCTTGGCCAGTGAATGACATTGTACGTGGTGAAATTCTACCCAGCGGATGGATTCTTCAGCCTGACGTGCAGAATGGAAAGGAAATAACTAAAGTGATCTATATGATTCAGGTAAAGGATGGAAAGTAATTGAACTAATTAATGTTTAAATACAGGGATCTGCATTTCATTTTTTCATACAGAGTAAATTTGATACATGCCATCAGTGAAACTGAACTTTTTTTCTCTTTTGAAGGTTGACCTTGGTGCTCCCGCTCTGCCCTCCAGAATGTTGGCATTGGTTGCTAAACGGCAGCCTTTGTGCATTGCCACCCTCGCCAGTTTCCTATCATGCTGATTGATTGGTTGAAAGGGTCTGAGACACGCAGCAGTAACTCAGCACCACTACATGTTCAATCTGGAGACATGAATGTACCTCAGGTCAAAACACTTCAAATCAACCCACTTTTAGAACACTTTACAAAATATAGTCTTCCTTTTAAATAGCATTATGCATGTTTTTGGTCTAATTAAGCTCACTTCACAAATGATAGCATGATAGCAGTTTTTGATGTATAATATGTAAAGTTTTATATTGTACAGATATTTTTCTAAGTCATGTTTTGTACAATTAACCAATTGAATGTGCTTTGCAGTTGCTGACTTCCCTCTGGTAAGAAAGTTAGACAATCACATTCCAGAGGATGTATTTGACTATGCACTGCAGTGATCCTTTTTTAATGCTGTATAGTTACATTTTATTTTTGTATGCAAACAATCACTTAAAAGGTCCAAATTGAAGCTTTTATTTATATAATGTTTGAAGCATTTTATACACATTTAATTCCATGGATTGTGAACATATGTTTTATAAAAATAAGCATTTAATATTTTGTAAATGACTATTTTGCACACGGTATTTATATATAATGCTTTTTAAAATATATTCGGCTTTAAATCAACGTGCTTTCTCTGAGACTGAACTGCTGTGGGTAAACATCAGTGCTTGAAAAAGATGGATCTGGGTAATGACTATAGTATCTAATCCTTTAAATAGAGGATTAATATTTCATAATATTATGGCAACATACAGGACAAAAGCATACAACAAGCAAAAGGTCAGTGATTTGAATTTACTATTCCTTCAATGTGTTATAATGGGTAGAACAGTGGTGGCCAACACTAGGCCATCAAGAAATGACCCTCCGAATACTCAAACTAGTCTTTAAATCGGTTTTGATTCCAGTAGTTACTGAATGGCTATGTTTAAGGTGTTGCTATAAATCAAGAAAATGTATATGGGTTGGCTGACCAAAAAAAGGTTGGCCATTGCTGTCCAAGAACCTCAGAAAGGCTAGTTTTACTTTTCTTAACCATGTATACAGGGAATTAATCATTGTAATTCTTGCATTTGATATGCCTTATTACATCATCGAGATGTCTCAAAGTAGCTTGACTGTGTATTTTGTGGATGAAACGCAGCAGCCAGTTGCGCACAGCAACGTCCTACAAACAGCCATGGAGTGAAGGACCAATTTTATTTTGGGGGTTGGCCAGGGGAGACTCCTTTCTGTTTTCAAATAGAGCCATGGGATCTTTACCCACCTGAACAACTGTTTGTCTAATCTGAAGGATGGCACCTCTGACAACGTAACACTGCATTGGACGTGCAATCTTCTGACTAGAAGGTAAGAGTGCTACCACCAAATTAACATAAACACAAGTAACCAAAAAAAAAGGATTCTTGGAACCCATCACATATAATTAAGGACACATTCCCTCTGTACCCATTGTTGCATGTGGTTAGTAGAAATGGAAATTGGATTCCAGTACTTCACATACAAATATTCAGTAATGTTCATACTATTTTCGGACAGTCCAAAATTCTGGTCTGTCCAGTGCCTTGGAATGTCCTCCCGACTTAAAAGGTGCTATACAAATGTAATTTTGTTATATTTAATGGAAATTGAGTTTGTCTCAAATCATTTAACAATTGGCACTCAGTATCATACTCTCCCACAGCATAGCTCCCTCTAACTTGCAGGCCTCGGCAATCCTGTTGGTCCATCGGTTTTGGGACTGCCAGGCTTCAGTCTTCCCACGTGTGCCATGATAGCATACTATAGCAATGCTTAGACACTATATCATGACAGTAGGGACCAGAGCTATTATTTCTGCACCCTTTGAGTCTAATGCAGAAGGAAGATCCTGATTTTTATATAAAGTATTGTGGAAAGAGTGATACACATCTTAAGTTCATATCAAGTAAAGTATGCAAATAACAGTATCCTGCTCTAATCAAGCACCTATGCAGTAAACTAATTGCACCTCAGGGAATTATGCAATTTCTTTTTACAATGTAAATGCAGGATTTTTCAGGCTGTTGTAGTGACAATCTTTTGACAAATGGAGGGTGGTTACATGAGCACATTTATTTATATATTTATTATTTTTATATATATATATACACACACATCATACTTCTGCTCTTCCCATTACTCTCCACTTTGCTCCTGAAAACAGTGTGAGGAGTGACGAGACAACAGCCAAAGCAGGAGGTACAAGGAGTTTGGCCATATCACTGTTTCACATAGTGAAATGTATGATACATGAAATTACATGGGCACATAATTGCATAATTCTCTAGGGTGTAACTAATAGTCATTACACAAACATAAATGGAACAGTTTATTCATGATCAAAAGTACTAATTACAGGAATAGTCCAATATGAACTACGTAAAATATTCACCAGTGAATAAATACATTTATTATTAGCAGCTTTAAGTAAACTTAATATTAAACAAATATTATTGCATTCAGTACAGTTGTAACTAACTTTCCTTGGTAAAACTGTTGCTGCCATATAGGACCGCCACTTTATTCAGTCCATCTGTCAGCTCATTTGGCGTCTTACCAATGTCAGTCACGTCTTCACATGATCGAAATGTTTCTATTGTATTCAATAAATCCTACAACGAAGAAAGGAAATTTATTTTTCCTAAGTTGTACATGTAAAATGGAGCTGTGATTTTTAAACTTAGTTCTCAAATCAGAATGACAAGTTTTCTTTTAAAAAGGAAAACATTCAAAATAGACAATTCTATGTTAGCCTCAAAGAACAGATTTCAGTTAAGGTACCCTCAAACTAAAATCTTGTCTCCACCGTGCATATCTCTCAACACTCAACTTGGTTATAGCATCCCTATACAGCCAAGCACCTTTTTTCTCCACTCAGACATTTGAACTCAATTGCTTATTTTTCTCTGAATGTGATCCTCCCTTTCTTAAAGACATTTTGATTCAGTGTTCTCCACTGTTTCCCTTTATAACCAACAAGAATCAAGAGTTTTGACAGAGACAAGGCATAGCGTGCCTTCTTCTTTAAACAGACATTATTCAATGCTGTAGAAACTGGCTGTTGATAAGTACACACAAAAATATTTTCCACTGTCTATCTTAAAAGTTCTACAAAAGGAAAACCTAAGTGCAAATCAGAAATGACAATGTAACCTGTACTATTGTAAGTTTTGCTAGCAAGAGGAAAAGCTTATATTTACAGATTACAGTGTACACCAAGAAACTACACTTACTTTAGGCAATGGACACTGCAGAAGTTTCTTCCAGTATTGGTCCATTTCTTCAGTCTTCATTAAGCCATGCTGAGCAAGGCCATGAATAAAAAATGAGAGTTCAACCCAACATTGCTAATGGAAAATGAAAGAAAATTGTAGAAACCTTTAGATAGTACAACGTCTATAAAAACACATACAAGAGTTACGGTATGCAGGAAAAAAGCCGGCTGATGTTTTGAAGCAACACCAACAATTGTGTTATAATGGAGCTCTAATGTAATATCCTTTCAACATATCACAAATTAGACTGATGCATTTTGTGAGACCATTTGACATTAGATTGCATCAAGAACTAATCTCACCTTTGGATTTCTTGCCTCAATCAAATATGAAATATTCTTCTCACTGAATATTAGATGTAAAGGTAGAGGCACGTGGAAAGCATCTTTCCAAAGTGAGAGGAGGTAGTTGAGTGATGGCTGTAATAACTGGTGATTAGAAGCACGATCTCCAGAATCGTGTTGAATATGATTGAGTGGAATTTTTCCTGCAACTAAAGAGAGAAATAATGGGAAAATAAGATGAAAAATATAGATGCATAAACACTGGAGAATTAAATCCCTCGCTTGCTTTCCATACTTACCCAACAGGGAAGCCAACTCCACCGTGCACCTGGCAAGTGCATGTTCAATTACTGGAGAGATGTACTGCAAAGAAAATACAACCGCTCAATACCTCTGAGCATTCACTCACTGTGGTTCCCAAAGAACAACTCGTAAGAGAAGCCCGGTTGTATATTCCCAGTTTATCACCCAAATTAAAATTACTGAAGACTTAATTGTAATAATAATCCTTGCATTTGATATAGCGCCTTATCACGTCTTCAAAGACATCTCAAAGTGCTTCACAGAATATACAGTACTGTAAAATGAATTGATTATATTTTGCAGGCAAAACATGGCAGCTAATTGCACATGGCAGTGTCCCACAAATAGTCGTGGATTGAGTGACCAAATTATTATTATTTTTTGAAGGGATTAATATCCATGGAAAAGCGATCTGCCAATCGACTTAACAACTGGGTTCCTAATTACTGCTCGGTAAACAGAGGCGTGTGGTTGCCCAATGTTTCGCCCTGCCCGAGAATCGAACCTAGTCTGCTCTAACCACTGAGCTACAGGACTGCACTGTAGTCAAATGTTTCACAAGAGTCGCTATTAATATGAAACAGCAGTGCAACAACCCAGTGCCTTAAAGTAGTTGTAAACCAATATTAATGCACCAATATTCTCAGTGATTTAAAAAACACAGGTTTTGGTGTTTTGTTCTATCTTGACATCTCTACCACGCACACAATTTTCCTTTCCCATCTGCACTTTTCCATTATTAGATCCGACAAGACGTTCTTGTCAGTTGACTTGGTTTCCTGCATCTGATGTGAGGTTTGGGTTCATATGGTCAGTACGGTATGTGAATTCACGTGGGAATTGAAGTAAATTCACAAATCATATGCCTAAGTTTACTTCCTACCACAATGTAGCTCCCTCCATCGAATGTGCTGTCCAAGTCTCACCCAATTGCTACAAATCATTCATTAAACGCAACTATTTATATTGCTCACCTTCCTGCATTGAAGCGTTCTGCTTAACCTTCTGAACAAGTTATCAATTTGTCTGTGCTCAATTACTTCATCACTTCTCCTGGGACCCAGTGCAATACACAACAGTTCCTACAAAAATGAAGCAAAACATTCAGTACATGATGTCTATGGATTCAAAAAATCTTTCTTCCCTGCCCCCGATGGATTCAGAATAACACTGAGTGAAAAGTCCTTCGCAGTCCACATACTCATTCGTATTTATTGGAGTCCTCTAACACAGATGGTAGAAACTCGGTAATATGTAAGCCTTAGGCAAGGAACAGGCACATCCCAGGTGGTATATACACTTCAATGTAACACGAGGATTGCCAAGAACATAAGGATGGGTGACACCACTGTCCTAGTGGATAGCGACTGCCTTCTGTGCAATGTTTTTGATTTAAAGATAACACAAATTAAGATTTTTAAATACTGAGTTATCTTAGTTTGCTGTAGAAATGAATGGAGAAGATTAACTTTAAAACTTGATTTCCATACAGGACATCTTTACACATTCAAACACTACGGCTACTTTTTCTGAATAAATTATTTACTTCCACTTTTGTTGACAAGTTATACTGAAGAGAATTATCAAACTGCATAAACTGAGAGCACCTTAAACTCGTTGGTTATTTGAGAGGGAAGAGGTGCATTGTGTTCACATCCTGGAAGGCAGCTCACACTCTCAATGGGAGCCTCTTGTGTACCTGATGACAGCAGCGCTTGAGATTTCTTCAATCTGTCAAAGCACAGCTTCACTTCTTTCTTGATCAAAGCTAATAATAGGACAAAAAATATTTAAAATATAAAAACACTACTTCACAGGAACTTGTCCACTTTCTTGCAGGTCTACTGCAAACACACTTTATCACTCAGCTTCTCCTAGCCTGTGACTAGTGTGGAAATAACTGCAGAAAGAACATTGATGGGGTCACAGGTTACTCCTGTTCTTTAAGTTAAGGAGATGGTGTTAAAAACAGAAAAAACACAAATTAACCACAATATGAAAAGGTGAATTCATCCTCCATATGCAGCTGCTACAGGTTTTAATGGCACCAGAACTAACAATACTGGCCACAGCCTCAGCAAGTCTGTCTGCCTTACTGTGGGATGAAACCAGTGCCCAGACTAAGCTTACTCCCTTTCCTCCCCTCATTCTCCAGCAAGGGAAACACTTAGGACATTGTAGTATTCGTCCCAGTGAGTTATTAGATTATGTGACTGGGGAGAAAGAAAAAGAAAACACATCAACTTATCTGCTCATTTCCTCTTTCGTGCCATCACTAAGGTTGGTTTCTTAAAACTCATTAAATAAATTTTAAAGCCATCCAACACCTACCTCCTTACTTGCATGGTCTAATTCTGTCACCTGCTACTTCGATAATATAGTGTCCACATTCAAATTACATTCAGAGGCCCGCAACTGCATCTTATTTCAGACCGAAACAATAATTTGGGTGCATTTAGCCAAGAAATAAAACCAATGTGGAATGGAATCTCAAGCCATATTATGGCCGATTTTATCGTTCTTCATGCCTCCACTGAACCACTATACAGTCGTAGAAGGGAGCACAAGGGTGACACAAGCCAGTTAATTACCCCTAACGAAAAAAAACTTACATTGTGTGATTATGTTAAATAATCACATCTAGTGATTACGTTAAAATATTTCAAAGTTCTTCACAAGTAACTATTGTCAAGAACAGGTTTTGTAGACAAACATTCTGTGGGAAATGTTTGGTATCTGTTTGATAACTTTCCTTCCATACTTGAGTCCTGAGTACAAGTGTCTGACTGTGTTGTGTGGGCAGCATTAGCAGTAGCATCACTGTGTACTCCCTGTACCTGAAATGTTGGCCAAGAGCCACGTGCAGGCTTTCTCAGTTGCGAGACGGCTGGTAATAGCTTCTGCTGTGCTCAGCACCTGTACAAAACAAGAGTCAGTTAGATCATTGTTATTGGAACAACAGAGAAAAGAACTTTGCAATATATTATGGGGTTAAAAATCACTGCATTCCTCAATAAACTCGTATTTGTCAAAGGTTTTGAAATTAAATTTCCTCAACCAATGAATAATTAGTGCTCAACAAAGACTGAAAGTGCCCAGACCCAGCAGTTTGGTTTCAATTGGGCAGCATAGTTTTAAAAATTCAGATTTCAGAATATGAATTAGTTAAGCCTATACGTTAAGCCTGAAGGTCCAATATCCAAGACCCATAGAAATGGCACAGGAGGTGATCATTTGGCCCATTTTGTCTGCCTTATCCACGAACAATAGGTTCATTTTTGTGTCATGGATTTCACTAGAAAATGGGAAATAACTGAAACCAGACCAGAATTGAAGACAATGTAATGAGCTGGCATTAATGCTCTCACTCAAGCCACACCCTCAAGTACATAGGCAATCCATTGTGCACAAGTATGGATTCTGAAGGCCAAAACTCACCGAGGCAGACGTCTCTTCCGGAAGCAGAACTCGAATTGCTTCTGGGCCTTTCTTGCTGCAAAACCTGGGGGAGGAGCAAGAAATAGAAGATATTTGTTAAGATCTCAAACTTTTAAACTTAAAGAAATTAAGGCATACCATACCTCGCTCTAGGCCAGGCGCATCATGGCTGTGTGGGAAATTAATCAAATATGCCTTTTTACTAAGGGCTCAGTTGTGTTGATGGATAACACATTACCATCTCTTTCCAGGGGTACATATGTTCCTTAGTGCTGCTCTGGTAACTGCTCGTCCCCAAATTTTAGAGAAGTGAGAAAAATAAAGCAGCTCCAGCAAGGTAGTGAGGCTTTTCTCAGTAGCTGCACAACAGCTATTCTCCACCATCAACAATACTGTGTAAGAAATAGGTTTAAGGTCATCTGTAGATAAATCTGGTGAGAACTATCTGGATGCTCTCCAGGGTGCAAGGGTCCAGCGATGTTATAACTCAAACACGTGAATTACATGATTCAAAACTAGATATTCCATCACCACCTTTTACTCTTTATCCAATGGCATAGTTAACGACAAAGGTACAAGGAGTTCAAAATTAAGAATCAACACCCAACTCATTCAAGGAAATTGATCACTTGATCTAATCAAATTATACCAATTTCCACAAATCTATGATCTATGAAGGATCAGGATGGGAGTCCCCTGGGTCTAGGATTCTTCACTATGTCCTGGCCAACAATACTCAAGATCAAATTGGTTATTCAATTCATAATTATAATAATCCTTGCATTTGATATAGTGCCTTATCACATCTTCGAGATGTCTCAAAGCGAATCACAGAATATACTGTAGAGTGAATTGATAGTATAGTTATCAGTGGGACATTGGTGTGCACAAAATTGCCTGCCACATTTGCCTAGTAATACTCAGTCACTATACTTCACAGTAGAGATGCAAGAGAATGTGAGAATGTTATATATTATTAAGGATTATCATCAGGAGGGATTAATTTTTATTGCTTCCAGTGTTGCGGAAACCAGCAATTTGTATTTCTCACTTCACACTCAATCTAAATTTTTGAAAGGCCTCTTCGTTGTGGAGACATAAATTGGCTGCTCTCCACATGATGGAAACCAATGAAAATGTTCAGGTAAGAGATGGTGAGGTAATGAGACTGAAAGCCCTACCAGTTGTACAAATTTGCTGCTTCAAAAATCAGATGCACAGCAATTGGCTTGTAACCCAACGCTTATGCTCATCACATGAACCTTCAGTACTGCTAACCTTGCGAATACTTACAATCTGCCCTTGACTACTGCCTCCCTGCTTTCTTCACAGAGTTCAGTGGTGACGCTATCAAGGAGCATAGTTAGATTAGGCTGTTCACACTTCATCCCATTGCATAACATCACCGTCGCACGTTTAACCAGCTCAGCCACTAGACTCGCCCTGGCAAATAGAACACACATACACACAAAGTGTTACATTTTTATTAGCTAATCCACGTTTTCATTTCTAAGTGGCACTGGAAGGGTACATTATAACAGTTGCCTTGCATTAGGATTTGGAAGTCAATCTCCTATCACACAACTAATTATGGAATTGCATGCAGTTTCCCATATTCTCAAGGATACATTTAAAGTGGATTTTTTTTTAGAATAGAATCCATAAAATAAGACTGATCATAAAACCATATATATTTTTAAGACAATAAAGCAGGATATGCATCACTTACTTAATGTGCTTCACACAGTTAGAGCAAACTCTTTCAGCTACAAACTCAACTGTCTTACGAAGTGATGGGGGGTGATTGTGAAAGAAAGCTTCCTCCAGTTCAGCCTACTCAAGAGAAAAAAAATCAAGCAATTCCTCTCCATTTAAATGAGACTGACTTCTCTATTTGCAGCGTTAAGATTTAACCCTATATTACCAGTATCTGAATTCGGAACTAGCTGGACAAGGCCCGAAACCTAAAATTTAAAAACATTTCCACAGGTCTGCACGCGTGGAGACTCCCGACTCTCCTAGCACACGCTAACGCCGCGCAGAGCAGCCTCACCTCGTCCTTCCTGGCCTTCACAGGGATATCAACTAACTCAGATTGTTTGAATCCAGCGACCAGAAGATAGCTTTTTCACTACCTTCTGTTTGCAGGGATTCAAATACTTGGTTCAAAATTCCGGCTCACTGAACTGGATCTCTTGCCTCCTCCCCGGAGTTTAGGTATAGTTAACATCAACATTCCTTAGCTTTCTGTCACCCCTGTCAAATAGTGCACAATCATTCATTATGCGGGCTCGTGATGATGATTGGGGACAGAGACCAGGAGTCTTCCCACAGCAGTTGAGAGGTTTGGGAGAAAGTCGTCTGCCGCCCTCACTGAAACAATGTCATCCAGCCACTCTCACTGACATTTATTTGCTGCACAACAATTACTTAGATAGTATCACAATTACGCAGGTATGAGAGGGTGTTACCTGGAGTCGCTGCTGAGACAGAGCTGAAGTTGACACTAGCGGTTCCGCTGCAGTTGGGGTGATCTTTCTCATAAATCCTCCATTCTTAACACCACTGCCAACTACATAGGAAACCAGCAGCTTGCGTAACTCAACTGCAACACAAAAGTATATTCTTTGGCAAATGCAGCAGCCAATTTGCGTACAGAGTAATGTCCCACAAACAACCACAAAGTGAATGACCACATTTAACACAGAGATTGTTCCAGGAAACTGGGAGACACTCCCTTTTTGTTTTGATTGGTGCAGTAAGATCTTTAACGTCCAAATGAACAGGTCCAGGACCTAAGTTGAACGTCTCATCCGAAGGATGCCCTCAACACTACACAAGTGTCAGCCAAGACTATGAGCTCAAAGTCTCCATGTGGGACTTGAACCCACAACCTTCTGACTCAAGGAAACGAGAGAGCTACCAAATAAGCAAGTCTTACAGCTTCCAGCAGGTTGTGTGTGAAACCAGACAAGTGTTTGGAGGGTGTAGAGCATAGGTGGTTTGCCTGCTTAGGCAAACCACCTATGCTCACCCAGACATTATTCCTGATCTCAACCCCTTGTCCGACATTCAGAAGATACTGTGTATGTGCAAACTGAAAAGGGGAAAGAAATTAACATTATCCTAAGCTACTGCACCTGGTTGGTGAAGAACGCAGGCAAGAGAATTGGGGACGAAGAAAGCAAACCACCGTACACACGCACATGCATATGTTTGTCTAATTGCAATCAGCACTGATGGAAAACAATTATTGTTGGAAAAATGTACTCAGGATAATTCCCTAGAGATTCAGTATGTGTACAAGCCTGCAGGAACTATTATCTCCAGCAGACAAAAAGCTTCATCTTTCGATCCTACGCAAGCTCTATAGATGATCTGTACACCCAGTACCTCAGACTTGGTGCCTGTCCAGCACTTTGAGACATTCGTCCAACAAGATGCTATATAAATATAAATTGTACTGTAGTAAATCAGTGGTCTCCATTAATGCTATGGGTTGTGTGACCCACAACACCCTTTTGTCCATAAGACAACTCGATATCCACATTAACTGGGCTTGACCTCATTGGGCATATGAAAACAGTGCGGCTATCAGGTCTGTGCGAGTGCCCCCTTTGTGTATGTTATTTGTTTTTCTTATCCTACACTAACTTAGATCTGATCTCATTATCTTTGGATGCCAGTTCAGTCCCATTCAAGTACATTGTGAACATCATATAACCTTGTACGCATACACACAAGATAACAATTTTAAGTTCTTCCGTATCAGAACCCCAAGTGGATACCCAGAGTCAAATGTCCTACTGTAATTCCCAACTGCTCTGTCAGGGGAAGCTCAAATGGAGTTGGCCCACTTCCTCATGAAGCGGGAGGGACAGAGAAGGGTAACTTATAGATGAAATATGGTTGCAATGTCTAAAACATTACCAATAGACAACAAATGTACAACAATGGAGAAACAACCAAGAAAAAGCAGCTCAGGCAGTACTTACTTAAATAGGGACAGCAGGTGTAAAGAAGTTGCTGATCAACCAAAGGAACAAAGTCCTGGAAACACACAGACAGTAAGGTCAGTAGGAAAGATCGAAAGTAATAAATTGTTGGTTCAGTGGGTAAATGCACAACTTGTTGTGATTCTGCATCTGATCTGTACAGCTCAATGCCACAATAGGACTTACCCATTGAACCATCAGGGAGCTGCTTTTCATCTTTTGTACCGACAGAAATCAAGCTAACAACTCCAGCATTAAAAGTATTACTTACTAAGCCTTGGTCTGACACGGTCAATTCAATGGCATCAATCTGCTCTTCATTGAAAAACATTTCTTCAGGAACTGCAGGAATCTATGAATCGTTTAACAACAGTGAATTATCAGCCTTTGCACTGTTCCTGACATTTTTCATATCAAGTACTTCACTTCATTGTCGATTCAGACTTACTTGGAAAAGCCACCCCAGGACCGCGAGGATCAACAGTTTGTTCAGGCAATTCCTATTCTGCTTGCTAGTTAGAATCATGTATCTGTTTCATCACAAACAGTAAAGAATTTAATAATACAATAGTAAGTTTTTCTCCTTACCTTCTTCCTCCCCTCCAACATTGCAAATCTAGAATAATTTTTAAAAAATGTCAAACTGGTATTGATTTGGTGTGTAATGGCCAAGACAGTTCGAGGCATTACAAACTGCCCATTTCGGTGGACATTAAATCCAATAGCAAGTCCCAAAAGAGAAAGCAGTCTCTCCTGATGTCCTGGGCAACAGTCCCCCCAAAAAAATTTGGAATTTAACAGCTTTTTGTGAGGCATTGCTGTGCAAATTGGATGCCACTTTCCCCTACAAAATAAAGTCACTACACTTTACAGTAAAGCCTGAGAAATGCTTTGAGATGTCCTCCCAACATGAAAATATGCTATATATCCAATGCATCGTTTATCAAAACTCTTGCCAATTAAAATAATAATCTCAAGTTACATGCAAAAATGAAACATGAACAGAAAGTTTAAGATGCCACTCACCTGTATAAGTGCAAGAGGAGGGTGAACACCTTGTGATAATAATCCAGCAAAGGAGTAACATAGTCCATCATACTCAGGAACTCAACCACCCAGGGTACTGTGAGAATCGTGCGCTGACGTTCAAGTGACCTTTTCAATATTTCATACACATTCAGAACAGAAACTCCCTGGGAGAGAGACAAGTAAAAAAAGTCAACAAACTGTTAGAATGCAAATGTTAGGAAGCTGGAGGTTCACTTCACAGGCAAAGAAAAACATGTATTTAGTTTTTTTTGTGCAACTTGCTGGACAAAAATGGTATCACTGCCTGGACACTGAAGACAAAGTACACCCACAAAAAATATAACTACTGCACTTTAGAGTAAATCCTTTGGGAAGTCCTTATGATGTCAAAGGTGGTATTAAGCACTGGCTTACTTCACATCTCTCCACCTCAAAACATCGTCAGTTAGGTTTTCAGCCTATCTGCCCCCACTTTCTGGACTCCGGATCCCTGACTTGATGCCGCCCTCTCCGCTTTCAAGGTCCGTGTCAAGATCTTCTCTTCAATTTCCCCTTTGGCCATCATCCACCCCCCTCAGCTAAAGGGGAAAACATTCATATACAAAACCGGTCCAAAACTAGTGATAAAGACAACCAATAACAAATGAAAATTAAAAAAATGGTTGGATGTTAATGTATTGCATTACTGAGTACTATCCGCAAGGTACGAAACACATTTAATAAACACATGTTCACCTGGTTTCTGAGGGGAAGAGCTGCCTCCTGCATATCCCGTGTTGGCCGATCTCCTGTTCGATAAGGGAGGAAGGTAAGAAACCCCAGAAACTTGGCCAGCAATCTTACTGTCATCAAGACTGAGGCAAAGTGTTCCTTCTCATCCTAAATTAAGCAGATAAAAGAGAGAAGAAATTTATTTCAATGGACAAGCCGACACTTGGTACAATGAGGCATTCAGGTCTCAGGGAGTAAACGGGTAACAGCTTCCGGACCTATGATCATTCAAAATAACCACATATGCTTTCTGTGTTTATCACTGAATAAAAGCTTCAATAAAACTATTAATATAACAAAGCTATCCATAAACTACACTTGGCAGTAATAACAACAAGCTACATATATAGCATCCTTTACAATGGTTAGTATCAGAGCGTTTAAGGGAAAGAGGGGAGGTATGTAGGCACGGACGAAGAGGAAGGTCTTCAGGTGTGATATGAAGACATGGGTAAGAAGAGAGAAAAAGGCTAAAGGAAAGGGATGTGTAGGAAGCCGAAGATAGCTGAGCCAATAGGTGGGTAAAGGATTGAGGGTTAAGCTAGTTAGGGAGGGAGGGAAATGACAGGGCACTAGAAGAAACTCAATCCAATGCACGAAAAGGAATAGGAAGTGACCTCTAGCAGGGGGTTTGGGAGGAAGAGACGATGAAAAGGAAAACAATGCTTGTGAACAGTTGCCTCACAACCTGCACGACACAAGGGCTTACCTGTTCGTCCATATCAGTTTCACGTTCTGTGGACTCATGGTTTAGGATCGCGATGCTGTCTAGTTCAGAAATCTGCTGGCACAGGCCATCTGACAAGTGTTGGTTTAACTGGTGACTAAAACAAAAATAAACTATAAAATTAAGCCTTTGGTAACAACAAACTGAATTTGCAGATTGCGGAAGGAATAGCAGGAAAGTTAACAAAAACTAATTTAGTAGCCGTCACATGCTCACAAGAGTTTTGGATGAAGAAGGCCGTTAGGCTGATCTTTCCAGCATACACACGCCACGTTTGTTTAAGAATTGTATTTTAAAGCACCATACAATTTACAGAAAACATCTGAACAACATCTGAATAAGGCTTCTAAATTTAAAACCTGTCTAACATGTTCCATTCAGTATCAAACAAAGAGGCTTCCAAAACACTATACATACAACAACGTGTTGTCTTAGAATATGGCAACAAGTATTGCACCAAGGTAAATGTTATTGCATATAAAAGTAAAATGTTCTCTTTATAGCTCCAATGGGATATCGGATTCAATTGCTGCATTGTCTCAAATTGAATAGGCTTCTATCTAATCACAGGTGGAAACTATTTTTCAAAATAGTGGGAAACAGAATATAGTTGCACCAAACGTAGTAGACTTCCAGCTTACAGAATGCCAGGCTTCCTGGGCAGAGCGAGCATGTAGATACTACTGACATTAATAGCACTTCCTGTGCATAGTACCGACTGGCAGCTGTTAGTGTGGGGTTTGATTTTATTGAACAGAAGCATTGTAGTTTAACGAAGTCCAAAAACTATTTTGCTTTGCTTTCAATGTTAGTTACCCTCTGGAACCAAGTCAGTTGGTAACATGTTCCCATACCTGCACCCTCTGGAATCAGCAACCTGACAATTATTCCTCTGCCACCTTACATTCCTGGTAAGAGGTTACAATGAGCATGGAACCGACTACAATAAAGGAGGCACAATAAATGAAAACAGAACCAACCTTCCTGCACATAAAAGGAAATCCCTGAAGAATTCTTGGCACCCAGAAAATGCTGGAGGCGGACATGGGCCCCCGATACTCTGAGGCACGACAAAGCGTTCCTGCAGTCGTTTCAGCTTCATTAGGTTGTCTGATCCAAGCATGTCAAGTACGTCCTGATCAGGATTGTCACCACCTGCAAGTGTTCCAACTGGGCCTTTACACATCTGCAGTAGGAACAAAGAGGAGAGGATATGAAACAAAATGTTTGGGTGAAAAAAATCACAAAAAGTATCCAAAAAAAACATTTCACTTTTCACAACTAGAAAATCAAAATATTGATTCTAAAGTTACAAGAACTTGGTTTGAACAAACTTAAGAGTCAATTACATACACGAAAACCAGCACACTTACCCTTATCAGCTGTTTCTGAAACAATCTTGCAAAGTGGCTGTGGTTATAAGCTGTGCTTAGATTGACCATCATCATCCTAAAGTAAAAAATTACAATTCTCAATTAATATGGATGCATCAAACAAGACTTGAGGCAGTTTTTATGCATCAATAATTGTTCAGTTAGAGTGTTCAGACATTACGACTTTTGATGTTTCACCTGAAACTCCCCACTGTGATCAATAGTCTAATATTTTCCTTGAAACATTCATGTCGGCTGTCTTCACAATGGAAGTTCATTAAGCACCTCTGACAGTGCAACGCAAGCACTGAATTGGAATGGTCATCTTAGACTATGTGAGTTCAATGGCTACCATCACTGACATCGCTTGTGGCAGAGACTGGCCAGCTTCCTGCATATGTGCTAGAGATTCATGCTAGAGAAGTTTCCAATATTCATAACAATTCTCTTCAAACCCAGTTTCTAAATTTGGTAAATTAGATCCAATATACATTTCGCTGAGAAGCAATGAAATGGCATTGTTCTTCAAACCTGTGTTAAAAATCTGATAGGAGTATTTGGCAATAACCTGCCTGGGATCCAATAACTCCGCTGTGACAATGGACAAAGTACAAACAACTGACTTCTGCGCCCGTATCCCCAGAAACATGTGGTAGCTCATCAATTGTAGCATTGCTCTTTGTAAGTAGAAGAAACTAGAGTGCAAATGTGCCCTCTGCTGGACAATAGCTCTACCTCAGATATTAAACAGATATTACTCCATCTCTCCTCTCATGGTTAATATATACTGAAAATTAATCATTCATAATTGAATAATAAAACTATTAATCTAAACATTGTATCAACTTCTATCAAAGAAGTTGTGTGTTTTCATATTCAATACCAAGTATTTTATAATTTGTTTCCTTTCTTAATAAAAAGGAAGATCTTATCTCTCTTAAGGCTCCAAGATTATGTAGTGCCTGCGTGACGGGCAATATTATATATATAGGTGTGTGTATATATATATAGATATATAAAAAATCCAAGTTTTTGTTCATTATTTTTAAGTTTATTAATAATAACTTTAATCTGCTATAATAAGTGTAGTGACTATGGATTTGTAGGGTAAGTTTACCGGAATGGAAGTTGAGAACACACTTCACCTCTGTACCTGATTCGGAGTCCCAGCGCTCTCTCAAAGTCCCAGCAAGGATTTTCATGTTTATCCTCCCACTCGCGCAGGAGTTCATAAAATATATCTCTGTAAAATAACAAAGGGCCTCTTCAATCGGTACATACATTACAAGCTTAAGACTTTTTAGCCTTCAAACCATGTCTTTTTGAACCCCTGCTAAAACTGACTGGAGATTATCAATTTATCATATCATTGGAACAAATGGGGAGGTTAGAATTATTTTCACACAGAGTAGTTAGGTTAAGGAATCCTTCCATGAGCAGTAGCTGAGGCAGATCCAAATTAGCTTTCAAAAGGGAACTAGATAAATATCAAAAAATGAGGTAAGCTACAGGGGGAAGGGGGAGATAAATGGGACTGAAAGGATTGCTCTTAAAATAGCCAGTACAGAAACTATGGGTCGAATGGCCTTCTTCTGTGCTATAAATTTCCATGGCTCTAAAAGGAGTGTGTGGAATTTTACTAGTTAACGCTACAACTTAGAAAATAGATAAAAGCTCAGATGTAAAGAGAGTAACACGGTTTAATTACTTCAAATAAAATTAGTGAAATTACTTTGGGATCAGTGATTTGCATTGCCATGGTATTTTCTGCTCTGGTACGCTGCTGTTGTGGGAATTAAGACCTCATTTGTATTCCAGGAATATAGAATTGTGCACAACAGCAGCAAGAATAAAAACTTAAAAAGTGTTCTCCTTATATTTTTCTTCCCTTGCGTCTCCTGCATTTTGCAATATTTTCATCCTGAGCCATTTCTAACAAGACAGGAGCTGTACCTTTGCTTCTTGAAATTCTGAAAGGCTCTGTCGCTGATAAAATTTGATCGGTTGTCGGTTTCAGGCTCAAATGGGACAGGCTGTATGACTGAAGGAAGAGCGAGTGACACCTGGAAAAAGAGAATCGAGTCAGCAAAGACATGCCACAGCCACTCTTCAGTGTAAGTGAAGCACATTGGGGCAGATCGTCATTAACTGGAATGTCAACTGACCAATCTGGAGAGAAAAGCAGTCTCACAGTAAAACACAATTTTTTGAGACTTCATATGTTTTCTGAGAAAAGAAATAGAATGTGAGGCTGAATAAACTCGAGCAACAAGAATGAATGGTTTAATCCGACAATTCGCTGTTCACAACTGAACCACCACTTCACATTGATCTTCTGAATTGCAGGGTGAACCTTACAATCCACTGCTGAAGCCATGACACACAATCTAAACAATGACAGCTAGACACAGGATCCAACAAATAAAACCAATAAATGTGCATAAGTATGTAATCTTAACATCTTAAACTGGCTACTTACAGAAAACTTCAATATAAATTTATGAGATCAAATCACCTAACAGAACTCCTGTGACAACTGGATCTAATGAAGAGAACAAGATTTTCGCAAGATCTTTCATTGCTTCCTTTTAACAATCTTCTCCCAACCTTTTGTGAATACATTTAACTCCTTTTTTCCTTCCAATGCAGTACGGTTTCAAGAGCAGTCACCCCCCCAATTCCTTTCCAGAATGACCACTATTTATATACAGTTAGAGAGCCATATAACCACAAGAATCGCTACACCAAGCCTTTGTCTGCATCTTCCTGAAAGCAGTTCAAAGAACGGTCTCTGGAAAAAGAATCCTGGCTGATTCCCCCTCACTAACTCATTGCTGAGGCCCAATTGTAGCTCTCTAATACTGTCAGTTGAACCCAAATGGTTCAATTTATGTGGTTCAGCACCTCACTGAAAAAACTTGCTGAGCCATCTGCAAAACCAGAACTGCCGCCAGGCCGATTCTCTCACCTTGGCTGTGCTGATCTTGTGGGCGTAAATCATCTGGTCATGTAAGGAGCTCGAGAACATAGCGAGTCTGTCATTCTCAGCAAGAAGCCTCAGAGTCCCCTTATCTAAATGGGAAATGATCCTAAACGAATGAAAAAGAACATATAGACCAAGGATCTTACTCTTATTTAAAAAAATGTGATGCACATTATCCAATCACAACACAAGATATCAGTTCTTAGTTTGTAACATTTTCAGCAATTTGGCTAAGCAAAATTACAAAAAAAATTGGGCCACTCGATTGACGACTGTTTGTGGGACACTGCTGTGTGAAAATGGCTGCTGCGTTTCACCCACTAAATACAGTGAATATACCATATATTCGTGAAGTCTATATATATATTGAGAAGTCTCAACGACTTGATAAGGCTCTATATAAAATACAAATATTATTATAATTCAGGTGACAGAAGATTGCCTTTCCACAGTTGGAAAATCACTGATCACTCAATGTAGAGCTAATTATTTGCTTTCAGCAAGTAACTATAAAGCATACATTGAACAATCTTTTAAAGTATTGAGCATATTGTGAGTGAGATTTACATATCACTACACTTTTTAGAAACTTTGTGAAATGTTTTGAGAAATTCTCGATGTCATAGATGTTCTACCAAATATAATGATTATAAGAACAACATGAAATATATCAATCTTTGCAAACTTTAGGGGTTTTAAAAAAGTGGACTTTCGATCAGGGTAGATCAGGTCCAAATGCAGAATAATAAGATCCAAACAAGATCCTTTGAAACCAACCTTAGACTTGGCTCAATTTCACAGAGGATTCTTTAGTCTTTCTCTTGGCTACTGCAGGAATACCCACTGTTTTGTGCTGTAAACTTACCCCACAGGGAACCCCCCCCACATAATTTAGTGTCACTCTCATATAAGTGTCCAAGCCCCATCTCAAAATCCATCCCTCAATGATTTACCTGTCCTGACTAATGTCTGCATTGGGAAAAGTTAGATACGCGAATCCCCTATTCACAAGGAAAGTAACAAGAACCCAAAACATTTTTTTCTCTGCTCCCAACAAGTCTACAAGACTAACTGACTTTAATAATTTCATACTGGATATACCCTACATATCAAATAAAGATCTAATTTGTCAGATTTGTAAACAGTGAACACTGCAGGTACCTGAATGTGCCTCAGCAAAGCCACTGGAATTCCCCACCCAGGCCAGCCTGATCTCCAGGCTAGTGTTTGGAGCCTCCTTTGGTTGCAACCTTGAGGGTAGTATTCAGTGGGTCAGTCAGAAACAGAAACATATCTGGGTGCCTGCAGATTTGCTTTTTTGCAAATCCCATAAATTAAACCATATTATTTGTCCCTACAAATAATTCCAACTATAACAATGTGAAAATTCAATTTAAACTAAACACTTACGTTAACTGTTTATCCAGAACTCTCACGGCAAAGTAGACACAATTGTGCACACTCCTAAAATACTGTCTTTCCACATCTGGGGAAGGGGATGGGGGGATAGAAATGCATTTCTGTTTAATTCGCCATTAATCAGTTACAAAATTTATAGAAATGTTTCAAATAAAAGTTATTAACTTGATGTGTCATCAGACAGATAACTTACTTTTAACTTCTGAGGAATATTTCATCTCATCTTCAGCATCATCTACAGCTGATGCTCCTCCTCTTGACGTCAACAGCTGCAGTATAAAGAAAAGCTCCAAAAAAATATTTGGTACTAAATTCTCTAGAATTGGGAGAAAAAAATGCATTCAATTAGCAGTTTATATTTGCACTCCTATCTCAGCTGTCGTCCCACTTCCACTCAACCCAAAAACACTTGGAGCCCACTGCAAGACTGCTGACAAATTGATGTTAACTATTCCTTTGTTTTACAGCTTCAGTTTTACGCAATGGTTGAGACCACCATCCATTGCATTTCCTTTCTCTCTTCCTTTCACAACATAATTTACATATGTTGCCAGTGGAAAAATAAACCATTGAAGGCAGCACTTATAAAGTCAGCCAACATGAGGAATCACTGTCGTTCAACATTGTCATTAGAACTGGAGTCCTGTAGCTAAGTGGTTAGAGCACTCGCTTTGCAAGTGAGAGACCTGAGTTCAATTCCAGGCAGAGGGCGAGACCTTGGGCAAGTTTCCTTACTCCACACAGAGCCTAATAATAATCCCTCCAAAAACCAAAAACAATAATTAAATTGGTCATTTTCAATCTACGACTGTTTGTGGGACATTGTTGTGCGCAATTGGCTGCCGCGTTCGCCCACAAATATACAGTCAATTCACTTTACAGTGTGTTCTGTGAAGCGCTTTGGGACGTCCTCCCGACGTGAAAAGCGCTATATCAAATGCAAGGATTATTATTATTATTATTGGCCTGACAATGTAACACCATCTGTGCTAAAATGAAGAATGAACCAATTCCCAAAGGTACAGAGGGGACAGCACACACACAAACAACTTTGTTCCACATAGATATTCTAATTACTTTCTTTACTGGTGGGTTATTCTCAGCAAGATTAGCCAACTACCACTGACCAAACTTTTCAAATGTGATTGGAGATGCATCAGAATAAACAATCTCCATTTAATACAGTTAAAACGCTGCTCCGAAAGATGATAACACACTGCTTTTGTAAAGCGCTCTGAGACGCCATACGGTGTGGAGGGCGCTATATAAATCCAAGTTCTTGTTGCTTTCTAATCCAATGGTAAAACATACAATATACTGACTTTTAAATGAATTAGCAAAGTACGTATTAGTTTAACTACCATTTGTAAGAGTTGACATAGCCATCCCATAACACACTTACCCAAGATACAAGCAGAGTACAGCTGAGCCAGTATATCAAGCTGGTTTCGGTATGAAACTTTGCTTACATCAGCACATACAGTTTGGCTGTCTGAAGAAACAGGGACAGATCGTCCACACGGAGGAGGTTTAATTGGGGTGGTGGTATCATCCGGAACAGACACATAAGGCGTTGATGTTACCTGAAGCAACTTTGACCTAAATGGAAATATTTTATTCATTCAACAAAAAATAAGATAAACTTCACCAGAGGTCAGAAAGACACTAATTTGAGAGCATATAGTTTAAGGAGTCTATAAAAAAATTAGTGGAAAAGCAGAAAATAATTTTGTATTTACATTCCCCCAACAGTACTCTTGCATTGTGCATCCATTGCTGGTCAATCAGGAAGGTGACTTATATTATAACAATGGCACTCAGTAACTGATAGGTTCAAAACAAATACCCAGAGTAACTCCTTTTGGAGACCCATCCAGGTCTCAACACCTATGTGCAATATTGAAACACCAACCTAATATATCCCAAAGTAACATAGGCTTGTGCCACAGCACCCACCCCCCATCCCCCACTCTTTAAGCGTACACAAAGAGAATAGGACAAACCAATTTTTTATTGAGAGGCAGAACTGACTATAATGTCTTTTCTCGTCTTGCATATTTCTAGATTTCTATAACACATTCTTGACCAGAAAGCACGCTGGAAATTTTCCCAACAGTTTAGCAAAAATGTTGCTACCTTTCTATTTTCAGCATCTCTCGCTCTTCCTGCAAGCTGTTGGCAGGTGAAACAACAGTTCCCTCCAAACCAGCACCAAATGCTTCTCGAACGGCTCCTGCTGTGTAGGTTGAAGTTGATTGCTGACTCAAAGGAGTGGAAGTGAAGCATATCTTGGGTTTGGACAGTGACCGCTCTGCACTAACTGGAGTAGGATTAATTCTCCTTGATGGCTTTGTTTTACTGAAATAAATACAATGAAGAAAAATTAGATTTCAATCTATAAACAACTTTAAAAATCTAGAATTCCTGCACATACCTGACCAACTTGTCCAAATAGGGCAGTTGATGTTTAAAACATCCATAATAAATAAATATTAATCCTTACATTCGATGTAGTGCCTAATCACATCGTCGAGACTTCTCAATGCACTTCACAGAATGTACTGTAAAGTGAATTGACTGTATAATTTGTGGGCGAAATATACAGTCAATTTGGCAAACAAAGAGGCAACACCTTTAGTTCAAATACAAAATACAATACAAAATTACATTTGTAAAGTGCCTTTCACGACAGGAGGATGTCCCATACAGTCCCAAATGACACCAGAGGGGTCAATGCTACGCATCATCCTTTGCACTTGGAACACATGTGCTTCAGAAAAGTAAAACTACACACCTACTCTGACGGACCAAATAAAAATCACTCAATCCACGACTGTTTGTGGGACACTGCTATGCACAAGGGGTTGCCATGTGTCACCCACAAAATATACAGTCAATGGACTTTACAATATACTCTGTGAAGCGCTTTGATACATCTCAATGACTTGATAAGGCGCTATATAAAAATGGAAGGATTATTATTATTATTACTAAGTCAACTGTAAGCTTACAAATTAAATCGATCTTTGGAGCAAAAGGTTATGAGTTAAAAAGGTACTGATTTCACTACCTGACACAAATCCACATACCTACATGACTTTTTGTAAGCACAAAAGATCCCCATCCCAGCAATAACTAAAAGCAATGCTCACATATTTAGAATACATCAACACTGGTGTAGTATACTGTACCACACACCTTTACTTTGGAATATCACACACCAATCCAACCTTGAAACAAATCCACCCAGTGATAGGGTGTGTAACTGTGTGCTATACAAAAGAATGTTTTTTTGTAAAAACACTCAAATTGGATTATTCTAGGGGCTCCACAGAATATACTGTAAAACGAATTGACTGTATATTTTGTGGAAGAAATGTACTACAAATCAAATTATTTTTTATTACCACTTCGCATGCCCTGCACTCAGGGTCCAAGAATGGATATTTTACCCAATACTTTTATACATATTTTATATACTTTTATTTTATATACTTTTATATATAATCAAATATTTTGTGCATTTCACCCACAAAGTATAGTCAATTCACATTCCAGTATCTCCTGTGAAGCGCTTTGAGACATCTCGAAGATGTCATAAAGCGCAATACCAAACGCAAGGATTACTATTATTAAAACACTGGTGAGCCAACTGCAGTTTACAGCAGAGGATTCATCTATTTATACAGATCAGAATACCTTGGAGGCATAGATGCAGCGCCCACTGGCGGAAACTCATCTAAATTGTTTAAGTTTAACTGACTGGAAGGCTGGGAAGCAGCAGGTGAGCTGAGTAAATCCACCCTTCTTCTTCTATTGCCGCTCCAGTTTGGATTATCCTCTTCGTTTGAGCTTCTTACGAAGTCCTTTGTTACCTGCCGACCGGGGCCCAACATGTTCTTCTTCTTGGCCCGTCGCTGGGATTGGCTTTCAGAAGTTGTGACAATGAACTGGCCAAGGCTGACCCTCTGAGCCGAGCGGCGCTCTCCCTGACGCGGCGTATCGCAGCAGACAGATTCGGGGCTAGCCGCGCTGCTCGAGTCACCATTTGATTTTGAGAAGTACGACGAACCACTGGACGAAGGAGACTGGAAGAAAACATCCGAGTTAGCGGAACTGTTTGGAGTTTCAGAGAATAACTGCGTTCTACTCCCTTTTGGGGGGACTGTATTACAGGTCCTTCGATCACTCGGGTTACACTCACTCCGATCCCGATGGTATGAGAGTCTCAGCCCTTTTGCAGAGGATGACTTTGCAGGCGTAGATGGACCATTTGGAATTAGTTGGTTTGTCTGTTCCCTTAAAAAGTTTAAAAGAAAGGGAACAAACTCTCTGCGCAGAGAACTGTATGCCAGAAGCTCATCCTTCACGTCACCTTTCTGAAAACAGAAGTCAGAGAAGGTGAAAAAAGTTGTCATGTCAAAGAAATTATTATGTTGCCTCATATCAAGAATGTAATTAGGCTTGTAACCCAAAATCTCTTTCTCTTCTTCCTCCTCAATGCATGGCAGATTTTTTTTTGAGGGGGGGGGGCAGTAATGATACAAACATAACAGAAGCCTACAGCTCATTTGTACAAAGCAAGTACTTTTTATGGTTTTCCAGGTGGGATCATCCTGCCCAGGTGGACGCCTAGTTGAGGATATGTCTCTATCAAATAATAATAATAATAAGGATCATCATTATTATTATTATCATCGTCATCTCAGGCTAGTCAACCACCTCAAGGTCTTGCGTATGGTGTTCCTGCCCCGACTTCGCCAAACTCAAGTCCAGAGTTAATTCAACTCCAGTGAGACTCGACTGTTCAATCAATCAATCAATCAATCAATCAATAAACAAAATTAAATCAATAAATAAATTAATTTAGGTCAAATAAGTAAATAAATGAATCCCACTCGTTAAACAAAAATTAAATAAAAACATTCGAATAAGATAATGTTTGAATGTAAAAATAATCGGAAGTTGAACCGCAATGTTCCTGTTACAATAAAATAAGAGGCTTTTACATACAGGAGCTGCTGACCTATTAAGAAATTGCACACTAAGGACTGGAAATGTGTTGTCAGTCCAGAGATAACAGTCTGGAGGGGAGGGGAGGGAGGGGGTATTTTAATATAATTTAATAATAGTAATAATCCTTGCATTTGACATAGCGCTTTTCACGTCGGGAGGACGTCCCAAAGCGCTTCACAGAACACACTGTAAAGTGAATCGACTGTATATTTGTGGGCGAACGCGGCAGCCAATTGCGCACAGCAATGTCCCACAAACAGTCGGTGGATTGAAAATGACCAATTTTTATTATTGTTTTTGGTTTTTGGAGCGATTATTATTATGAGGGCTCTGTGTGGAGTAAGGAAACTTGCCCGAGGTCTCGCCCTGTGCCTGGAATTGAACTCAGGTCTCTCACTTGCAGAGCGAGTGCTCTAACCACTGAGCCACAGGACTCCACAGTTAATTCCCGGGGGGGGGTGTGGGGGGGGACTCACGTGACCGCGGTGGCCCGCGGCTCTGCTCTATGTCGTGTGTTTCTAAACATAGGAGAAAGTTGTAGTTTTATTGTGTGGGCGGCGGAGAGGTACATAACCACAGGGAGAGCTGAGCTGAGCTGAGCCAACCGTGGGCCAGGGGCCGGGGCCGGGCCAGACCAGGGGCCGGACCAGGGGCCGGGCCAGACCAGACCAGGGGCCAGGGCCAGACCAGGGGCCGGGGCCAGACCAGGGGCCGGGGCCAGACCAGGGGCCGGGGCCGGACCAGGGGCCGGGCCGGGGCCAGACCAGGGCCGGGCCGGGGCGCCTGTCAGGCTGGTCCGCGCGGAGCGGGGGCTCGAGGCCCCTCGGGCCCTCCCGTCAATCCTTTTTAAACATGAGTTTAAAGTCTTATTTTGCCCTCCGTTCCTCTCCCCCTCTCCCGCCCTCTCTCTCTCTCTCACCTGCACGGGCTGCGAGCCGTTGGTTTTGAGCCACGCGAGCGCCTCCCCCGCCGTCACCTCCTCCCTCAGCAGCAGCTCGAGCACAGCCGCCATGACTCACTCACACACACACACCATCAGTGCGCAGGCGCCGGCGCCCTCTCTTCCCCCCCCCGCCCCGCCCACTCGGCGGGAGATTCAAATCCATTTCCCACACCAGTCCTGTGGGCAGGAGTTGTACATGTAATGTAACATGACAACGACTCGTCATGTATGGAGCGCCCTTCACCCGGGGTAGGGGTAGGGGGGAGCGTCCCGGGAACGCTCGGCAGTGGTGGGCGGAGCTGCCCCGACCCCGATCAGATCAGATCAGATCGGGCGTGTTATTTTTTTTTGTTCAAAATAATTTTTTCAACTAATTTCTAAATTTAAACCTGCAAACCTACTGCACCCCTTACCCCCGCCCCCGCCCCACCCCACCGCTTCCTCTTTGAAAACCTTTTCTTACACCGTTTCAAAAGCACGAACCGTAACACGCAACACATTACTTTGGGGCTGGTACTTGGTGGACTTTGGGCTAACAAACTTATTTTGATTTCTGGCATCCCAGGCGGCCAGAGGGAGATTCAAATTCATCTTACACATAATTACAAAGAAACGCGCGGCGCAAAGCGAGCCTGTTCACTCAATGTACCAGCTCATAATTAACATTTCAAACCCTTAATATCCTTACTTCCCAACTATTTATTCCTCCCCATACCCATTAATAGGCTTACTTATTAATAATAATCCTTGCATTTGATACAGCAGCTTGCACATCCGGTAAAGTTTTCGCATTTACTCAACAGATTGAGATGCACCTTGAGACATCCTGACGTGATAATCAATATCAAATGCAGGGATTATTTTTGTGAAATGATCTTAGTACCAAGGAAAGAATAGTACATTCATGATTACAAAGTTGAAATACGGTAACTTGCTTATTAAAACTAGCATATCAATAGAAGCAACAGTCAATCAAAAGTATTATGAAACGGTACTAACTTATCTCTTGTTCCTCCTAAATCTCGTATCAATGTCTTATTGTTATTTGTATAAGTATACATAAACAACTTACTTCCCCACTGGTTTTCATTTGTGAAAAGGTCTAAGTCAGTTGTAAGTAAAGACCTTCACAATGAAGAAAATAAGGCGTGCACCAAAATTCACTACAATGAATGGGTTACATCAGATTGTACTGTTACTGAACTACAGTCTGAAGTTTATAGTCTGAAAATATTTCCCAATTCAGCAGTAGACAGAGAGGTTCACTTTCATGAAATAATAGATCATGCTTCTACAATTGGATTTGCACAGAGTCGAGAAAGAAACACGGTTCAAACATCAGATGAAGTGAAAAAGGGCAAGATTATTTAATGCAAGGCGAAAAGAAAAGCAAAAACTATATTCATCATCCTTGTTTTTATTGGAATACACAAGACAAAAAATATTTATATGTTGGCATGCTTAATGAATATTTTATTTACTTGTTTATAAAAATAAAATATAAAATAATTTTAGAACACAACATAAAACACTGTACAAGGCTTTGATATGGTACAAATCAAAGAACTTAAATAATTACAGCTTTATGTACACCCTACCATCAAACGATGTATGCCATTTTTTCATCCTTATATATTCTGAGGTTGAAACATACCAGGTAATTTCATACTTTTGCTGCTTTTGTAAACCATGTTAATTTGACTTTTACAGAGCTCCATAAAACACAACCTCTTCTTGCCCAGTGTAAAATTAAACTAATCTGAAGGACGCAAACCATTTTTTGTTCTTTCAAGTTACCCTACATGGACCATTAAATTGTGGGAATTGGAATTGAAAGCATTTTTGCATCACAATAAAGACACCAAAATTAAAGCTATCCATTTCCAGGGTGGTCCAACTGGTGGCCCACAGGCCACATCCGCGCCCCCCCCCCCCCCCCCCCATCCCTCCATCAATTTCAACTGGCCCACCCGCTCCCTCCATAACTCATAAATGTTATGTTTTTGGAAGAGAAACACCAAAACATTCCTTATGCAGCCCGCGGATGTTTCTCAAATAGGACATCTGACCCTCAGCAGCCAAAAGGTTGGACCACCCTGCATTAGACAATCAAGAGCTCTGAAATGTCTACATTTGCTCACAGTTAACCCTGTATATGTATTTGTAAATTTATCACCATACTGTTTGGCACGATAGCACAAGGTATCCATCGTAATACAGTCTGAATAAATACAATCTGAAATCAGGCAAGAGGTTTTATAAGTTATATAGGGCCCTGTCTTTATTTCTATCTTTTTTAAACTTGTGTGCATTATGCTATACATTCCCAAGAGCAGTTAAACAATATATCTGATAAGACTGACAAAGAAAAAAAACACCATCAAATAAGGAAATTGGTGCTGAAATTAGGTTTTTGCACAAAAAAAACCAAGCACCCTGAATGCAACCAAATCTTTCAGTGCACATAATCTGTGAGAAGTAGCTCACAGCAAGTCCAAGTCACATGGACAATGATTGAAACAGGACACCAGTTCAAGTTTGGTGATTTATCTGCCCCTTCCTTAATTGTTTACATAAAGTATTTACGTTTGAAATGACTTCAGATCAACTTTTAATGCATGCATATGGTATACTGATCTATTTGAACTGTATATTGACATCTGATTTACATATGTGAATATAAATTAATGTTCAGGTAAAACAAACTAATACCGTTAATCCAGTCACTTCAATTTACAGGTTAAAAAGTGCAGTAAATCTCCTTTGAGAGGCTGCAAATTGTTGCAATATCAATTTAAATTTAACTGCGACTATTTCACATCAACAGCAGAAACCTCTCCAAAGTTTGTTAAAGCTCCCGTAGCTCCTTTTGTTGGATCCCATAGTCTGTTTTTATTACCTTAAAACATCTATGCACAATTCTCGTTTTCATAGCTACAGATTATAAATCTGAACTTTGAAAAATACTTCAAGTGTTAAGAAGAGCTGCACGTTTGTGGCCAACATCGTTTGCAGGAAGACTGTGTGCATGAAAGAAAAAGAGACTCGATCTTTTAAACATAGACTATTGAGGCAATCCAACAAGGGTACGACAGCTTTTTTTTATATAAACACAAAAAAGTCCACATAAAGAGTTCTTTACAAACTCCTGGTCAAACACNAAAAAAAGCAGCAGCTTTGTCAAATGTATGTGTACATGTGTGTGTGCATTAGGGCTTTTTTTGCCTTTACAGTACAACTACAGAAAGAATGAAAAACGATTTGTCCTACTTCCAATTTCAATGCGTGTTTCACAATTAGCACATTGTAAGGTCACAGACAGTTACATTTTCCTGTTCAGAACCATTTAATTTCTATTTTGCACCATTTAAGTTCTATTTTGCACCATTTAATTTCTATTTTGATCTGTTAAGAGCATTTCCAAATCGTTATGTTGCAGGTTTTGCATGCCAGGTAAATAATGGGAAGCGAAGAGTATTTCAGGCACGCAAAACATACTTTGCAGCCTGTGATCAACAAAGTTTAATCCACATGAAATGAATAAATACATACATATTATTGTGGGCATGCATTTATTGTTAGCATCTATAATACAATAATGTACAAAACATAAAACAGGTTTTTCTTTGAAAATTTCTCTTCAAGCATTCAAAACAGCATGTTGTTGAAAGCCTTAGAAATTTGAAGTCCCCACTGCGCTACATTTTAGATGGAAAATTTTACACCTTTTCAATAATTTACCCTCCCAAGTCAAGCTTTCAAAAAGTTTTAGCTGATGTGATTTCCACGTACAAACAAACAGGCTTCGGATGACTGTAGTATTCTGCAGGAAATTCCTATTTAAGAAAACATGACCTAAACCAGAGACTTTTCTTTCCTTAACAGTGGTGAGGTGATTAAAATACATTAATATTGTTAGTCAGGCACATGGCAATCAAATGATGATCTATAGATGTTTTGCACAATATGTGCACATACAGTACTCTAGTAACCTTAGTTTTATTTTTAGATACAAGGAGTACCAGATTTAATTTCTGGTCTATTTCATTTTGGATGGGCAATGCTGTGTTATCACAGCACATGGGTAATTGGTTAGTACAATAACTGGCTAGCTGGACCTCCCTTTTTTTTATTACGAGGTGTTTTTTATTACAATTTCGAGCATATGCTAATGTTGGATGAATTCATTATGGGGGGGAGGGGGGTCATTTGTTTCAAGTTACACATCAACAAGAATGGAATAACTGAGCTTTCTTCTCCTTTAAGCTGCTTGTTTTCAAAGTGTTTTACAAGCTTTGAACAATGTGATTCAGGGATAGAGTTTTTCTTTAATTCCACAATTACAAATCAAGGAGAACTAGTCTATTACCAGATGTCAGTACTACAGTATCTAGCGAAAATAGTTTGATATGGTCCTTCAGCTATTTCTACATCTATGAATCTACAACTCAAGTTTTTTAAATTAAGTTTGCATTTATCTAAACACACCATACATTCAAAAATAAACTTAGTTGGCATTAGTGTAAAAAAATGGCAAAACCTTTATTTTACTATTGGCTATTGAAAAAATCCTATAGCAGCCTTTCTTACATCTATATGAGATTTCCCTCAAGATCTAAAATGGCACACAGACAGATAACAATCGGAAGATTTACAGATTAGAAGACTGTTAACAATAGGAAAAGGTGGAAGTCCTGGACTGGTATTTCCTAATTAAGAAGCTCAAGCCAGCAGAAGCCAAATAAAATCTATCAACACTCTATACAGCAGAGGACCAAAAGTGTACTGTGCTATAGAGACAACCAGGGTTTAATTCCTGACAGCTATCCTAGTTTATACAAAGCAGCACCTGTCCAACAACTGGAATTCAAAATGGCATATAAGCTATTGTTCAGAAAGGGATAAGAAGACAGCAGTTTTTTTTCTCTCTTGAAGTTAAAGACTAAACAACATGCAATGAGGAAAAGAGAAGAGACAATATTTGCACTTTTTTTTTACTATCTGCTGAGTTTACTGGACGCTTTGCCATCTCTGCCTGAGCATTTTCCCTTTGTTGATTTGCTTTGACACAAGTGATGAGGACTACCGGGTCCCTTTAAACTATTTTTGCCCTGTTTACTGCAGCCATACTCCTGCAGGAAGCTTCTTCGGGAGGGCGAGGAGCCAGAGTAGCTGGGAGGCGAACGGCTTCTGGCAAAGTGCGGAGATGAGCTTCGCTGATCCGTGTACGGGCGTCCGCGAGAGGAGGAAGAGCTGGCAGTGCGAGGCAGCGAGGCACTCCTTGGAGAAGCGCTGGGACTTCTCCGGGGGATTACTGGGCTTTTTGGTGGAGTTTTCGGGCTACGAGGGGATTGCGGGCTTTTGGACTGCGAGGAGCTTCTCGTCTTTTGGGATCCATTTTGAAGGATTTGAGCAAGGTGAGTCAGCAGGTCAGAGTCGGAGCTGCCACTACCAACTACTCTGTATCGCCGTAACCTGCAGATCAAAACAAACCAAAGTTTCTCATTAGTTGCCTTTGGTTCTTTAACCACCTTTGCGATTTAAGGTAGTGGGTTCAAACCCCACGTCAGAAAAGTACTTCATAGTCTAGGCTGATGCAATACGAAGCACTCTGGCAAAGTTCGGCAGGTTACGCATTGTCCTTTGGACCAAACATTAAACTGAGGTCCTGTACGTTTCGTGGATGTTAAAGATCCCATGAGAACATTCACTTCATGGCTGTTTGTAGAACTTTGCTGCATGCAAAATAAGATGCCTTTACCTACAAGCAGTCAGTAAACTTGACAATAATTATTGCAAAAAACATTCCTAGATATGGATGAGAAGAGGCACTTGAAAAATGCAATTTCCTTCCTTTCCTATCTTAGTGTCCGTAGCTACCTAAAGCATGCCTCTGGAAGAACCTAAATATTAACATTCGAGCCTCAGTTTCTTAACAGGCTTCACAGCTTGCCAGTTAAGACTTAATCATGAGTTACAGAATATTAAACCAGCACTCTTATAAATAAATTCGAAACAAATAGAACCATCAACTAACACCAGAAGAAAACAGAATGCAGCCTCTGCTTTCACACGCATGCAATTAGCTACAACGCACTGTAAAACGACAAAACAAGTTCAAAGTAAATAACTGCAATCTTTGTCAGGTTGCATTAAGAGACACAGACTTCAGATTCCTCAAAGGAAATCTGCTTCAATGTTCAACCACGGATGAGACCAAGGAAATCGTTCCTTTTACTTACCGAACCTCCACGCTAGGTCTGGTAGGTGGCTTCCCAGGAGGTGGACGTGGGACAAACTGGGATGAAGCCGAATTGGCAAGCAGTTCAATGTTGGTCAGTGAAACTGGCCGTGGGATCTTGCTCCTCCTGGATTGCAGACTGGTTAGTGACAGGGAATCCTCATCAACAGGCCTGCCTGAATGCTGTTCCACCGCAGATTTTGCCGGTAGTGTCCCGCAACAGTTAGCATCATCTGAAAGAGGAACAGAAGGAACGGACGCCTTGTCTTCCAGGGACTTATCGGAAGCAGATGAAAAATCACCCAGAAGAGATGCTCGAAGGCTGTGTTGTCTCTTTTCAGCCAATAGCCGCGTCAAGTCGGTTTGATGAGCCTTCTTTTGGAGCAATTTTTCTTTAGCTGAGACGGGAGCTGATGATTCGGAACCCGTCTCCATGTCGGACGCAAGGACTGGGATGCGGCTTTGCCTGAGAAGAGAAGGTTTGCCTTCCCCTTTTTTTGGATGGAGCGAGTTGTCGCCAACTGTGAAAATGTGAAGCAAATCTCCATTTTTTAACTCATTTAACTCTGATAGATTACTTTGCTGCTCCTGAATCTCTCTCTGCATAATCTCAGAAATATAGCCAATGTCCGACTTGTCTTTCCTAATACTCTCTGCATCGTCCTCGTGTTCAGATTCAACGGTCTGAAGCAGCTCTCTCACACATTCATATGAAATATTAGATGAAGGCTGTACCTCGTTAGTCGAGTCTTCAGTATATTTATAAAAGCAGCTGTCTTGTCCATCAAGCAGTTTCCCCTTTGACCCATCCATTGCAAGTTCGGTGTGCTCCACAGGGTTAGATAGAACATCCTCTTCTCTACATGAAAGCAATTCGCCTGTTACCTCCATGTTAGTCTCTAGAATACCAGCAGGTTTATCTTCTTCCTGTTTTGGTACAGAAGACAGTGTCATTGGGCTTGCTTGTGGACTGTGCTTGTTACCAGTGTGTAGTAGTTCATCTGTGGGTTTCACATGTGCAGACGCGTCACTTTCTCCTGACGGACACTGACCTTCAACAGCTTGATTTCTTGCATCTCCGGATACTACATGTCCATCTTCACACTCCACTTCCTGTGACAAACTAAGAGAGTGTTCTTTGTCTTTGCCTGATTCTGGGAAATGTTTGGCAAGCACCTCACCTTGATTAATGTGCTGCATTGCACTGGTCTTGGTCATCTCGATTGCTTGTGTTGGACCTTTGTCTGCAAATTCCAATTCAAGTTTAAGGTCAACTCTAGAAGCGCCCTTATACGAGGTGTCAGGCAATACCACAGCTGAAGCGGATTTGTCTTGTGGAGACCGGGCTCTTTTTATGGTATCGATGGTATTTTGCACCATGTGCTTGCCTGTGTCTCTTGGTTTATCATGCTGTACAATCACACAGGCGGTCAAAGAAGGTGTTATCGCAGGCTTGGCTCCAGTTATCTGTATAAAAATAGACAAAGAAAGATTATGTGTAATTCTCTGCAACCTACTTAAAACACCTCAACCCACTCAACACTATAAACATGATTCAGAGATGGATTCTGAGGGCAAACTGATCGTACACATTATGAAAGTTATGCTGAATCATAATACACTCACTGGTTTTACCACAGCAGTGGGTATCTCCCTCAGGGGAATTTATCTAACCACTGTCACAAAATTACTTTTGATCTTACAGAATACTGTCCAAGGGCAGAACTGTTCACTTGCCAATGGGTAACATTGCCTTAAAATGGCATTTTTTTATTTGGCCAACAAACAAGAGTGAAAAATTTTACCAAAATGTTGGTTACACCTCCTCCCATATGATAGCAATATTATAATAAATAAATAATAATCCTTGCCTTATCACATCTTCGAGACGTATCAAAGCGGTTCACAGAATATACTGTAAAATGAATTGACTATATATTTGTGGGCAAAACGCGGCAGCCAATTGCACACAGCAATGTCACACAAACAGTCGTGGATTTAGTGACCAAATTATTATTTTTTTTAAGAATTATTATCTCCGGAAAAACAACCTGCCAATTGATTAACAACCGGGTTCCTACTTATTGCTAGGTAAACAGAGGCATGCAGAGTAAGGAAACTTGGCCAACATTTCACCCTGCCGGTAATAGAATCCAGAATATTCAAAAGTAAAGGTAACTGTGATAGCATTGAAGAAAGAAACCATCATCGCCACCACTGAGGGGTTCTTCTGACCTCTAACCTTTGTATCTTTCTATCCTTAACCTGTATTGTTTGTATGAAAAAGCCTGAAAAAACAAAATTAACCTCTGAATTTTTAAAGCATGGCTATGTGCTCCTCCTGTAGAATCGAGTCAGATAAATGTAAGTTCCAGTTACAAGAAAGCTGAAGAGGGAAAAAATTCCACTTGGGTCTAGACTTCTTTCTTTGTATTTCAGATTGTGCAAAATTTGGATAATTCTTAAAATCAGCCTTTTGAAGCTGGTTTTCTATAGTCCTTAAAATAACCTACCAATCTTCTGTCCATAAAATATACAGTCAAATTCACTTTACAGTATAATTCACTTTACAAGGATTATTATTATTCTGTGATGTGCTTTGAGATGTCTCAACGATGTGATAATGTGCTATGTCAATTGAAAGGATTATTAATATCAAAAAATGCAAGGATTATTATTAAGACTGAATTTATGAATCATCCAAAATGTGCATGCGCTGAAATGCTAATGCTCCCTTCAAATAACTTGAGTACAACAAGGCACTCTCTTGATGATCTAGTTACCAGCATAGCCACTTTGCTATTAAACATGCCTGATAAAAATTTCCTTTCAAAATGAGTTTTTTTTAATCACTGTGAAGACAGTCAGTTTAATGTCATGTTATCTGTTGGCTGAAGTTGCGCAGAAGCCCAGAAGCGCTGTGGGACTCCTGTTCATTACAGATTACAGTAAAGGAAAAAAAGAACACACAAACAAAAGCATTTGCTTAAAAAATTGTTTTTATGAAATCTATTTCTTACAAGGAGCCCTCCTGTGTATACATTTCTCTCAAGTAATTAAGATGTGAAATAAGTCATTCTTTCAGTGGCAAAAGCTGTTTATTATCTGTCCAAGGCAGGATATGTAAGCTTTCAGTAATTAATATTTTTGGCATTTGCATTTTCCTGGGGAATATCATATTGATCTAAAAGAAACATTTCAGAAAATCAAATCCTTAATTCGGAGACGGCAGGTAATCAGAGAAACTACCAATAACCACAAGAGGAGTTCAGATGAAGAAAGCCCTTCAGTCTATTTGATCTCATCCCTCCAGAATACTTACCTAACCGTTGCCCTATTTGAAGGTATTACAAGATACCCGACAGTACAAATATACAAGGACAGTGCAACAGCAGATCACCAGTCTCCGTCCACGTGGTCACAGATCTGTGTCACAGAGATGCTTTTCCTCAAACACAGCACAGTCTGCCATCCCTCAGCCAGGCTAGGAATGCATGTTGTTAGAAGGAAGCAGCAACAACTTGCATTTATATAGCATCCTTCATGTTAGGGTTAGCATCTTGGAGCATGAGGGAATAACTGACATTTCCACCAGAAGAAAAGTAGCAAGCAAAATAATGAAAACATTTGAGGCACTTGGGGATAAAAATTAAAATTAAGATTGCAAATGAATAATATTAATAAAAATACTAATCCTTGCATTTGATTTAGCTCCCTATCACATTGTTGTGACGTTTAAAAACACTTCACATAATATACTTTCAAGTGGATTGACTGTGTATTTTACTATTTACAGAACAGAGAAAACAGCAAGCTCAATTGAACATTCATTTGTACAGTCGTTCCTGCAGAATCTTCACCACAAGATGGCAGTGATCAGTTTGCTCAGTGTTTCTCTTGTATTAGGATGTTTGGTTTTGAGTGTGTGTGAGGAGGGGAATAGAATAAAGGGGAAGCCACAAGCAATCCATTCTGGAAGCCATTTCCATTGTGTACCTGTCCATCTTTCTTACGATTTAAATCTAAAGCCCAGTGGTCGTTTCAAATCCCAGCATACCTATATTCTTAGCTTAGGATCTTTTGACATTATTAGTTATCTGGCATTGCTGATTACTACCATCACAATCTTTACTCTCTCTGTCTCTCTCTCACACATACACACAGCAATGTTCCATGTTACAGATCTAATTCTAAATCAATAATAAACTGCAGAGAATGGAACTAGAACACACTTGATACCCTTCAGGCCAAATTATAAAATCCTTGCCCATCCTAACAGATGGCTAATGCCCCACTTTGTACTGAGGGTCCAACTGGGTTTTTAAAAATTAATGCTACTTCAATCTTATTGAAAACAGGCAGAACCAGAAGAAAAATATATATGAATTCCAGCTCATTTGTCCTGAATCCTTGCTCCAGCCATTTACAAGTTCAGGTTTTTAAATCAAGAAAAAAAACAATAAATTGAAAATGTTTCAGACTCAGGGTTAAACTTTTTGCCAAAATTCCTGACCTTTTTCCTCTCACTCTCTTTCTACCCCTCAAAGAAAATCCAACTACGACCCTGTTTTCGAAATTGACGTTTTAATTTGGTGGACAAGACAGTTGCCTCTGAACAGACAGAATCTAAGACTGGAATTTAGTGTAGGTAATCAAAAAAAATCTCAATTCAGGTTTAATTCAAAACACTTTTTTTTAATGTGGAGAGTTTGCAAACTGGTTGAATTTTAACACTTCCCTACAATGAATAAGAGAACTGAATGCGAGGCGGTCTCTTAAACACTACTATTTGACTGAGTTGGATCAACGCAGAGCTGAAGTGGTCAGGAAGCAAGAATTGGTTGGTGATGTGGTCTACATGAACATGAGGTTTTCATTTTATTACGTAAATATGAAATGGAGCCTTTCATATCGGGAGGACATCTGTCCCACCTATCCTTCAAACATAAATGCTCACTCAATCCACGACTGTTTGTGAGACACAAACAGTCTGTGCGCAATTGGCTGCAATTATTCTGATGCTGCCAAGCCAAAAGCCACACCAGTAAATCATGTCAACCTGAGACTGATACTAAAGAAGAATATAAAGGACTCAGTAGGAGCTCTAAAGGCAGATCTGGAGTCAGAGATATGCCAACATCAAAATAAATAGACCTTCGACATTGTGGTAACCAGGATCCCATCCTGTTGGATGAGCCAGTAAAGCCTAACCCAACAACTGAGTTAGGAACCAGTTACATACTCAGAGCCTCAAGCAATCAAGACAATTGAGAAAGTCACTTGCTGAAAGAATCCACAGATTTAAAGCCTGGATCCAGCATGCATGGGCTGGTGCCTGCAGTAAAGTGGTGGTGGTTTGACTCATGCGAGTGTGATTCTGATTGAAAATGGCCTCAGTGCAAAAAGACAACACCTGAAAACTGCAAATCAAATTTCAAAATACTCAACTTTTGGCAACACATTCTCTGTAACAGACTGAGAAGAGAAGAGAATTCAGATATAAACAAAGATAGGAGGAAAAGTCTGCAGTGGATTACAGAGAGTTCTGTGATGACTGAAGCACAATAGACCTCTAAATTGACATCCATATACAACTTCTAAATGGGAAGAGAGGGAGAGAAAAAAAACAAGGAAAACACTCTCAAAAGACAAAGATATTATCAAGCCAACATTTTATTTGAGGAAACATTTATAGGTAGCAAACAGCAGGAAAGCAAAACAAGGCTGTGTCCATGATACTATTAAAAACACATGAATATTCTTAGGAAATATCTAAATGAATAACCTATTTTGGGTTGCCTATGTACTGCTATATAAATGAGTGCAACATCAAAGCTAAATGTACATCAAATGTCACTATATAAAAATAACTGCTAATGTATCAAGAATGAAATGCGCACTTTAAAAAAAAATCTTTACAGCTTTCACGCATCATTATTTAAGGAACTATGGTGTCGTGACCCTCCGACTTTCATCGGGTCAAACCTTTATCTATCACAGTACACTGTGGGGTAATGTTCGGGGACTGTGTGAGCGGTGAAGTACAATTGGGCTGATGGTCTTCTCATCTGCGCTTGCAGAACAATACCTCTGTATGGTAGAAAGTTTCTCGTTACCAAACCGCAGAGTCAAGGATCTGCTACCTACATGGACTCCGTTGCACATCTCACCCTCCAGTGTACCAGATTTCTTGGACTGAGCAGAGATCTCTTGTTGCAACTTCAGGATCAACTGTTAACACACCAATTAGGAGGACAAAGGTGTGGATGGATCACCTGGAGATATCAGAACAAGGCTCTGCTTAATTCACATTCAATTAAAAAAAATTGGACTATACGACCAAAAGATGCAAAAGATCCAAATATTAAAACATATTGAAAATAGGAAGGATTAGCAAACATATCTATGTTTTAAAGGTCTAGAATGATCTATTTTCAAAATGAAAATGACACAAAGAATTTTATATATTACTACAAGTTGAAAATTATATACCAAGTAATCAAGCCAGTTTCAGAAATATTGAACGTACCGGATCTGGTGAAGTTAGATGCAGGTCAGGTCCTAGCGCTCTGAGACCCTGTCCGGCATGAAGGACGCTATATAAATGCAAGTTGTTGTTGTCCTTGTTCCAGGAGAAGGAAGTCTACACCATGGTTTTGCAGCCCACATTCCTTGTATCTAACTCAATGAGCAACCTTCTGTACAGCAGGTCTTTCTTTATTGAACTCTATTTTCTTGTTCATCAATTCAACCGAGATCAATGGCACATTTCTTGCAGCCTTGTGGCATTCTCGCAACTTGGGGCAGAGAACCTGCCGATGTTGTGGTTACAGCGATGATTCCTTTTAGGCAATTAGGGTCTTGTGCTTACAAATAAATCTGTGTATTTTCATTAACTGTACAGTGAGGAGAACAGGTCACTCATATAAGTCGCGTGAATCATTTCAGAAGCTTGAATTCTGCTTTGATGCCTTGCACATCTAACTGTTTAGATGTTAATGTGGTAGTAGAGCAATGGTCGCTAGAGAAAGGCAAATGGATTTTCCCCCCTTGAAAACTGTTTGAGATTCCACCCATGCTTCTTCCTATCAGGAACTGAGATAATCCTACTCCTAAAATCTTCAATGTTTTATTAAAAAAATGCTCTTCTGATGGTTTACTTTCTCTGGCACTATGAGGAGGTTGAGATTAGGGAGAAAAAGTTCCAAGTCTAACCGATAGCAATGTTTATCTGTTGGCAAATACAACATAGCATTATGTTCTCAGATTACCGGGGATATGTGTAACAGATTAGGAACGTTCAACACAACCCGTGGATTCACAAAAAAGGCTTCAGCTTCACACCTTGGTTTGAGATGCCATCTAAATACCAAAACTGTTAGCTGTCAATCAACATTTATTCTTAAACTCTTCTGCAATGTGCAACTGTGAACTATTGTGTGCAAAGTAAGTCAAATGGTTGCACTCTCAAAACCGAGATTCATCCTCTTGGTGTGTTAGAAATGTTTCGATAAATCATCAATCATAAATAGGAGAGAAAGCCTTTAACAGTAACCAATATATTAAACCCTTTGAAAACATTTGTAGCTTTTGAAGCAGAGTAACTTTAACCCTGATTGAGGTTGGTAGTTTTACAATGATCTGCAAACTCTCATATCAAATTTAAAATGGATTTTAAAAATGGAAGTAACTCTTTAGCAAGCATCCAAAGTTAAATTAGTTTGGATGATTTCCAATTTAAGTTCTGTGTACCTGTAAGCATCCAACCCAAGACTATCTATAATCAGGCATTAATTGGCCATCATACTCAGCTGAACTACATGTTAACTGGATTGAAAGAACAGCTTTAAGAACAGTAATTGCAGCAATTAGCTTTTTTTATTGATGGAACTTTCATTTGTTGCATTCATAAAACTAGTAATACTATATAGGCCAATTAATTTCAGTGTCAAATTGGGGCTTTGCATTGATTTTATGACAAAAAAACACCTTCCCATGGCATATAACCAGGTAAATACATAGGTTTTTCACACTGTCTACCATCTACAGTTAGCCACTCAAGTCAGACTTTATTTCACAATGACCCAGTTACGCATTAAAAATACATGGTTGGGGATTTTTTTTAACAAGGAAAGTGTTTTCTCTGCGTTCATATAACTGCTCAAACGTCACTCTTGCCATTTATGGCGACAACTGTTTACATTTAGATAGTGTCTTTCACATTGGAAAGGATGTAAATCAAAGCACTTCACCCAGCTGGCTAGGAGTTTATAATGTCATCCCAGCTTCTCAGAGAGATTGATTTATTGTTATAACTCCAACCCACCCATTATTCAGGAATGTATACAAAGATTCCTCTCCTCCCAACCACCAACCACTTTGTATTTTATTGAAATCAGATCCTTTTAAATGGCAGATTCTTGTGTCAGCAAATGTAAAGTGTCCACTGCAAACATCAGACACAAGATTGGTGTCATCCGAAACTCAGAGCTGCATGTGCATCTGTAACTCACCTATTATATTCCGTTTATAACACAAGGAAGAAACTCTATACCTACTATCCCATTAAAAAAGGTTCAGCATTTTACCAGGCTTGAGCAGTAAAACCTACATTTGCTGAATTGCAAGGACTGTAACCTGAACACAAAAATGTCACACATCTTCCACAACGTAGAGATGGTCTAAAAAAGGCACCAGCAATGCCTAGCTTCAACTATTAAAAGCCAGAATTTGTATTTTACATAAAATGCAAAAGGTAGGAGGGAGTTAATCGACAGGAAGGTAATCGAGGGGTGAGCACGGCGATAAGCAGCTCATTTGGCAACATTTGTCCTGATGCGCAATTATAATGGGGAAATCCCACTGGCTACAAACAATGCCAAAGGCAATGCAATGTCGAAAAGAATTTCAGGCCCATTTGACTGATTCACTGCTTTATAATTCTGCCACCTTGTAAACGCACAAGGTTTTTAATTTTACATATAGGCTACAAAACAGATAGGAAATAAATACTGCGAAAGTTAAAACATTTTACATAAACATGGTTTTAATGACATGACATGATAATCTGTGACCTTTTACCTACAAATTGAGTAAATAGAAAAATCAGTAAGTTTGACTTGAACAACTTGGACATTTAACTCTTTCCAGCTCATGACTACTCACTCACAAACATATTGCCATTTTCAAGAACTAGTAAGCTTGAACTGTTAGATAACAATGTCAGTGGAAAGGATGTCAGTTTATCCAAGGTGCTGCCCATTAGAAATTGCTGAGAGCAAGTCTCCACTTGGTCCATTGCAGCACAGTTGGAATTAGATCAAACTTTCTCTTGTACTACTGCAAAGAAATGGATGTATAGGTGGCGAGGGGAGGGAGGTGTCTGTCACTATGCAAATGTACAGTGTTTCATTTACATATGAATAAATAAAAACAAATTATATCTGTATAGTGCCTTTCGCATCGGGAGGACATTCCAAGGCTAAATAAATAGATAAATTTAAATATACGTACTTGTTAAATTTACAGTTAAATGTGCTTCTGTAATATGGACATTCATGGGTGACATCCCAAGGGTCAGTAAGTTTAACACATGAATGACAAAGTGTGTTGAATTCAACTATACTTGGACTATAAAAACAATCTTTAAATGTTGATGAAAAACAAGTTTCTCTGGTTCCCCCAAAGGCAGAGTTTGTCCATATAGAATAGGAATCATATCTGACAGATTCCTCCTCGAAAAAATAAACGGTAAACACCTAGTGATTTTGCAATGGCTAATCTTATAGATCTGAAAAAAATAGTGAGCTCGGCATTGGGAACTCACAAATTAATCTCACAGAAACATTCCTGCAGGATGTGACAACAGGATAAGAAAGGGCAGAACTTCCAAAATGATTTACTTTAAAACTCAAGAAAAGGTGCAGCATGGCAGTGCAAACCTGCCTATACCTAGACTTTAGTCAACATATTGGTAAGGTCAGGTACATCTCCGCAGTGGGTGTAGGGGAAACAAAACCCGAAGAAAAAAATCAAAGTGAATGCTTAACCCATGTGGCTCTCAGCGATAGAGATTTCTTTAAAAATCCAGCACACACACAATGCTTGCCTGTCTGCTCAATGTTGCAGGTATCAGGGACATTGGAGATCTAATGGCAAAGAAACTGATCGAAAAGAACACACAAATATAAATTAAACCAAGTTCTAGAGGCATATAAATAACATTCACGGTGCAGTTTATGGCATGTCACACAATGTTATGCCTTAACACCATCGTATTCTATTGCATCATAAAAAGCACTATTACTACAGAACAGTGCATATCCAGCCTCACCAAGATTAGTGTATGGGAAAATACCAGACAAGGTTGGATTCATAAAGTCCCTAAAATTTACAGCCAGCACAAAATGTGCAGAAGACCATAACTCAATTTGATTTGATAGGTTGCCCAGCAGGATGCAGTAATAGTGTAGTACATTAAACTCGTATTGTAATGTATATTTAAGTTACTTTGTGGTTACATTTTAGAATTAATAAATAAAATGTGCAATAGAGAATCTCATAGGAATGATGTGTAACTTACAGCCCGGATATGCAACATTCATTTTGCTAATGCCCATATTCAGTGCAATTATCAGTCATTTTTAAAGTACACTACTGGCATTTTTCTTATGTAGAAATTATGTAAACTTTAATGTTAACGGAGCAACGCTTAATGCTGAAAAATATGTGTAATATGGCAGCCTTCAAAGACAATGCAACAATAGTGTGTTTGCTAACTGGCCCCCAGCGCCAACATGGTACATGAACTGTGAAACATCTCCAATACAGGAAATCTTATAATAAATAACAATAATTCTTGCAATTGATATAGTGCCTTATCACGTCGTTGAGATGTCTCAAAGCGCTTCACAGAATAATTTTCCTAAACTCTGAATAGTTTTGTATGTGCACATCTCAACTCCAGATGTTGATCCTGATTAATGTTAAATGTATTTATAACTAATTTGTAGTGCACCATTCATTTCAAACACACACTAATGACTTTGAGCCTGGAAAGAGTTAAACTGTATCTACTGTATATCTATCACAGCAGCAAATACTGCAAATAAAATAATCTAGGAGTTCACCTGTTGGAGCTGAGCTTTCGAGATGCGAATGATAGAAGGCAGCCTGGTGTTGCCGGGAATGAAGGGCAGCTGCCTGCGACCAGGGGAACGTGATGGATTGCTCTCAGCTGACTGGCTCCTGTGCAAATCTGACTGCTTCCTGTGAAGTGGATCCGAATCAGAGGATAAGAATGCTACAGGGCTCGGGGACCGGATGGGACTCTGCATCCTTGGAGTATCGGGATGTGGCAAATGAGTTTTGTTCAGCTGTGAGGACATATGGATGGGAATAGTTGTGAATTCAGGGTCATGATTCTTCCCTTACATGAAAAACACAAAATAAATTAATAAAATCACCCTAAAGGAAGGCAGGCATTTCGAAGATCAATTAATACACCCAATCCAGACCGAATTTAGCCCAGAGATGTTAATAAAGACACGTATGCATTCATTCAACAATACACGTTTCAACTGAACTCAAGACAACAACAAATTCTTTACCAGACTGAATGATGTGGGAATGAAGAACGGCTCAATTACCAAGACAGTAACACATTGTAAACACTCTATCCTGAAAAATCACCTGACGCAAACATTATCATCAACCCAAAACCAATGTCCTCAGAGCACCGTTTCTGATCCCAACACAAGTCTCCTCTCTAGACTTAATAGAAACTCATAACATGGAGAGGGTTTAATGCAAATATTAAACCCATTAAATTCTGAACGGTTTAATCAATCATACGATGTTTACGTGAACGTATTCTGTTAATTTCCTTTGTCTCTGGAAATCCTCGCAATACAGTTATAACTGGTCAACATTATACATATACAAGATAATGCAAATAGAATATAAGCAATTAAAGCACAGGAGGTAGCCATTCAGTCCGTCAAACAAACACTGGAGCCCGCTAGCACAGCCACTGGAGCCCTAGACTCTCGTCAGTACCTCTATTCTCTTTGGCTTGCGGGGTTAACAGGAGCTAAGTGGCATGACTCCCTTCCCCCAGTTGAATGGTGTCCATAAAGGCTACGTAAAGACTTCCTAAGTTCTCCGATTGTGTGTATGTAAGGAAATCCTGTCATGCTACACAAATATCGGTATAAGAAATCATAGAATGACCAGACGCCATAATAATCACTCCTGGACTCTGTCCAATAAGTCTAATCTCCTGAGGAAAGGTTAAGTAAACTTTCTTCCTCCCCCAACAAAATTACAGCATTTGAGAAATTACATTTTAACCTACTGAGGCTAAAAGCTGACGCAAGCTATTCCTTTGGGGCCAACTCCTCCAAATCCAATTCCCTGCTCTTCCTCCATGCTTTTTTTCATTATTGCTCTTTATATGTTTATCCAATTCTTGTTTAAATGTTCTGGTCTCAGAATAAACAACCACTGTGGCAAACTATTCCATGTTCTAATAACCCTCTATGTGAAAAAGCCTCTTCTGACCTCCATCTCAACTCTTCCAGTAGCAATCCCGAGTTTATGCCCTTGTGTAACTGATTTGCCAACCAGTGGGAGGGAATAACCTTTCACTATCTAGTGCCTCATAACCTTTCAGAATTTTGAAGATAGTTATTAGATCTTAACTATCTCTGCTGCCATGAACGCTTTCAAGCCTATTCTCAAAACTAGAACTCCTGAACCATCCATGTGAAATTACACCTAACCCTTTCAATGGATTTCCAGGCATTGTTGAAATGCATGTCTTATTCTAACTGTAGCCAAGTCAACGTACTACATACTATACATATAACAATGTACAACCTAAACCAATCCTTGGCATGACCTTTACATGATACCACCAGTTTGGGAACCATTGTTTTGCACATGATTTAATTAGCTGTGTGTGTGTTTACAACCTGCAATCTTCTTCCTGACTATACACTGATGGGTTTTGTCCACAAAAGATAGTCAATTTACTTTACAGTATACTCTGTGAAGTGCTTTGAGACATCTCAAAGATGTGATAAGGCGCTATATCAAATGCAAGGGTTATTATTATTATATTACATAATGAAGAATGTGATACATGCTTCAGATATTGATCTGAACATATTATTGGGCAATAGGAATCGATTCTCCTTCATATTCGGTGAAGTAATGTGTAACGTGGAGAATGGTCTTGAGACTAATGTAAATTGCCTTTGAAATCCAAAACCCTAATTCAGCAATTCTCAGATTTAACCATTGATTTTTTACCAACCATTTTCTCATCTCTCAACTTGCATTAAAGCTGCTGAAGGTCAAGTCACCACCAACTCTAGACAAGTAATACTGATTGAGGGCTGCACTTGGAGTAACCTCCCCAATCCGAGCGCTAAATGAACATTGAGCCATGAATCTCTGCACTACTCAGCAGTAATTTCATCAGCTAATCAATGCATCATGTGACTGGTTGCAACTATCACATACAGGCAACCTTGCCATCAGTCAAGGTTCGTCCCAGTCATGTTACTATACTCAATATATATAATGGTCCCCAAGGGCTTTCATGTCTCGTGGTACAATTCCACAGTAATATCTTGCTCACACTTTTACGGCTGGCATAAATTACTGTGATAAATTAATGGGATACTATACCGTTAACACAATGACATTGGTGATCATTTGCATCATGTTCAGTTTTAAATACACAGAAAAACAATGATAAAAAAACACAGCTGTAACCGTAAGAGGCAGTTTACTAGTGCAGTATGTTTGTCCTCTGGGTTTTCTAGCATATAATTAGTAGTGATTTTGTTTGTATAGTGTGAAGAAGATAGATTACATTTATGCCGGAAGGACATCTCAAAGAGCTACACACTGCTAGTTGGGGACCCGAGCTGGGAGGACTCAGAGCCCAAAAGGGGTGGAAAAGGGAAAGATGACTGAAAGTGTGGTCAAAGAGGCAAGTCTTGAGGGAAGATACTATCACAAAAAGTGAACAGAATTTAGGATGACTCATCTAGGGGTACGTCGCATTTTATTTTGTTTCTTGAAAAATTTGTTAGAATAACAAAAGAATAATTGATTGTTTTTTAGAATATTACTATTAGGTTTTATTCAGGAGTTGACTCATCACATTTGCTAGTAGAGGAATGATCAAATCACGCACTCTCCTCCCACCACAAACAAAAGTTTCTTGAATAATACATGATCTAGTTAAACCTAAATTAATTCAACTGTGATTTATTTCATTAATTGGTCATTTACTTCAGAGGTGTTTGCACGCCTCTCAGTACCGTAGCTGAGATCAGGATGCATTTCCTCACAGATGGTGTGAAGTTGTGTAATGCTCTGCCTCAGCAGCTATAGAGGCAGAATCAATAAGGGTGTTCAAAAGAGAAATAAACAGATACTTGAGCAGTAGAGGTATTGAATCTATGTGGATGACACCCAACTCTACCTCTCTGCCTCCACCCTTGTCTCCAGGATCACTGCTGTCCTAACTGAATGTCTGTCGGACATCAAGTCCTGGACGAGAGCTAACTTCCTTCAGGTGAACGTCAACAAGACCAAGGCTCTCCTGATTGGCTTCCGTCAGCGCCTCCTCACCTCAGGCACTGACAGCATCACCATCCAAGGTTGCACACTCCGCCTTACCAAGTCAGTCCGGAACCTTGGGATCTTGTTTAACCCTCAACTATCCTTTCTACCCCAAATTTGCGTCATAACCCGCTCTGCCTTCCCCCACCTCCGCAACATCGCCCAGGTCAGACACTGCCTCACACTGCAGGCCGCCGAAACCGTCATACACGCTCCCTCCGCTCAGCGGGCTCCGGCCTGCTCCACGTCCCCCACCTCGCCCCACTATTGGCAGGCAGGCCTTCCACCACTTTGCCCTTACCCGCTGGAACTCCATCCCACAGTCCCTCTGCCTCTCCCCCTCCCTTGCCACCTTCAAGACCCATCTCAAGACGCTCCTCTTCGACTGTGCTTTCAAGTTCCCTGCTTCCCCTTCTGTCCTCTACCCTCCCCGACCACCAGCTCAGGTCCACAACTCTGTCTATCCAGCGCCTTGGGACCTACTCCCGACGTGAAAGGCGCTTTACAAATGTAACTTTGTCATTGTTGTTGTGGAAGGTATGGTGAACAGAGTGCAATTAATTGGCAGCAAGTAATAAACTTCCAGAAAAAACTCAATGAGCTGAATGGCCTCGTCCCATGTTTCTCTGATTCAGCAATAGTACAAGGCAGATAGACCTTGTACGATGGACACTCAATCCGAAACCTACAAAATACATAATTGTCTTTCTATTTGATATAGTGATATAAGAAAAACGTCTCAAAGTGATTCAAACTTTCTATTTGTGGGTGAACGAAGGAGCTCAGCTCCTTTTCAAGATTTTCAAGATTATGTGAGCTGGTAAACTTCAGTAACGGTATTAAATCATTTCATTCTTATTTTTAGGACGTACCATTTATGGAGTTTAATTTCCTAAAACATCAAGAAATACAACAACCAGGAAAGGGTTTTCGTTATTTTATCCATTCTCTCCCTAGGATCCACAGGAGAAAAATCCAGCCTTTCGATATATATTCACAGACTCCACTAAAGCCACTCCTGGTTTAACCCACACCTTTTCCCAAATCAACTGAAAATTGGAGACTGGCAATGAAACAGAAGACCTCAGGTAAACTGACAAAAGTGCGACTGCAAGCAAATCGCAGGCCGCTGTGTTAAAAGAAAAATCGATTCACCCACAGCTGTCATTCGCGACAAATCCATATAAGACTATATGTCGGTGTGTCACATTCAACTAATAGACAAAACTCCTGTAGCTACATACATTAATTCAAATATTTGATCCACTCTTCGAGGTACTGATATTACAGGAAAACCCAAGGAATTAAGAGATTAATATGACGAATATTCTTTAGCAAAGGCCTGAACGCTAATTTGCTTTACAAACCGATTTTAAAAAATTCCTCACTGAAATAAACCTGAGCTTCTTCACTGTGCAGAGCAAAGGAAAGAACGCTTATTTTCTATGCTAATTTTACCGTGTTCATGATGTAAATACTGCAATTACAACAGTTAAAAAATGAATTTCAAGTGTTTGAAGTTGAACTATTTTTGTTTCAACAAGTAGCTAACATTTAAGATCAATATTATGTTTCCACCAATTTGAGACTGAACTTCACTGTTGAGAAAACAGAACCATTATCTAACACAGTTAGACACAGTAACAGTCATACAGACAGATGGACAGAGCGGAATACTATGGAGTGCTTTGTGTCCCTTTAAAAGAAAAAGTTTCAAACACGGCTGAATTATTTTCTTTACCTGCACGTGATCTCCTTCAAACTGTTTTCTCCCCAGACTCTCATCTTTCGCCTGCTGCAGCTGACCAGCAGCTCTTGTCGCGAGCTGATGTTTAGCAGCAACATCGCCACATGTGGTTCGAACACCATGATCGGCAGATCTTGGACTTACGGTCTTATCCTTGACAATGGCAACTTCTAACTTTAATCCTTCCTCTTGTGGAGAGTCTGCCACGAGAACCTCTGGTTCTTCATCATCTGTCCGGCCAGATGGACTGGTGAGTTTCTGCCCCTGACCCCCATCAGTCCTGAAATCCTGGAGGTCACATTCTTTATCCACAATGACCCACTCCTTGGAGTCCACATCCTGCCTGCAGGAGCTTAGATTAACTGCGACAAACCCATTGCTCATGACAGCATCCCCCTGCTCGGGAGATCCCACAGAGATAGGCTTTGAACCATCTGGGACATACTCCTCATCAAAGTGCCACACTCTGTCAGTACGGGTGGCAATGGATGCTTTCGGTGGCTGGGAAGCGGCAGCGTCCTGACCCCCGGCCAGGTCTTGCTGTGCCTGATTTGAGCTAAATGTGGAAAACAATTGTTGCACAGCGTTATAAAGAAGGGAAAAAAGAAGAGTCAACAATTAGAAATATTGTGACAAATGTGTGGTATACGATGCATCCCCATAATGTCAGCCACTATGCCCCAAAGCTTTGCAACTCTCTCCCCCAATCCCTCCGCCTTGCCCTCTCGTTCCCCTTTTAGATCACAACTGAAGACCTTCCTTTTCGACCGTGCTTAGTCAGCTCCTCCCTCCCCCTGGCTCGGTGTCAGGTTCCGCCACTGTTCAGCACTCCAAGACACTGCCCTGGGTGAAGGACGTAATATAAATGCAAGTTCTTGTTGTTCACATCAAATTAAAAATAACATTGTCTTTACTGTAACTAGAAGCATTTAAGGAGGTTTTCTGAACATCCTTACTGGACAGAAATTCTAACAAGACAAGACAAGACAAGATTCCATTTATAGAGCGCCTTTCACGTCAGGAGGACGTCCCAAGGCGCTGCACAGTTGGGTCATGACCCGAGCATTGGGGAGATGGTCAGGGCGAGGGGAGGGAAGGGAGGGAGCGAGGAGGGGGGAAATGGTCAGGGTGAGGGGAGGGAAGGGAGGGAGCGAGGAGGAGGAAGAGAGTCGAGAGGGGAGCTGAAGGCACGGTCAAAGAGAAAGGTTTTGAGACCGGCCTTGAAGGAGGAAAGGGAGGAAGCAAGGCGAAGGCACTGGGGGATGGAGTTCCAGAGCCTGGGGGCTGAGAGGCTGAAGGCCCGACCACCGATGGTAGGGCGGTTGGGGCGGGGGACGTGGAGCAGACCGGAGCCAGAGGAACGGAGGGTACGGGCAGGTAGGTAGGGGGATAGTAGGTTGGAGAGGTAGGAGGGAGCAAGGCCGTGAATGGCCTTGTAGGTGAGGATGAGGATCTTGAAATCAATCCTCTGGGGGATGGGGAGCCAGTGGAGGCGAGCGAGGGTGGGAGTGATGTGATCGCGAAGCCTGGTGCGGGACAGTACACGAGCTGCAGAGTTCTGAATGACCTGCAGCTTGTGGAGGGAGGTGGCGGGAAGGCCGGCGACGAGAGAGTTCCCATAGTCCAGCCTTGAGGTGACAAAGGCGTGAACCAGGGTTTCAGCGGCGTGAGGGGTGAGGTAGTGCCGTAATCTGGCCATATTCCGGCGGTGATGGAAGGCGGTGCCAGTTGTGGTGCGGATGTGAGGGAGAAAGGACAGCTCAGGGTCGAACAAAACGCCGAGGTTCCTGACTTGCTTTGAGAGGTGGAGAGTGCAGCCTTGGATGCTGATGGTGTCAGCGCCTGTGGTGCGGACGCGCTGACGTGAGCCAATCAGGAGGGCCTCGGTTTTTCGCACGTTGAGCTGAAGAAAGTTGTCTCTCGTCCAGGACTCGATGTCGGACAGGCAGGCTGCACAATAAACGTAACTCAAAAGGCACAATATCTTGCAATTAAACTCTACCAAATAAACAATTTATTTGACATTCCCTCCAAAATTTACATTTAACATCAACCAGAGTTTCAATCATAATTTTTTTTAGAAACCGCACTGGGGATTTTGTTAATAATAATCCTTGCATTTGATATAGTGCCTTATCACGTCATTGAGGTGTCTCAAAGCACTTCACAGAATATATTGTAAAGTGCATTGACTGTGTACTTTGTGGGCGAACAATTTGAAATATTCGCATTCCTACACACATCCCTGAAATAAGTCGCTTGGGGTGCTTAACAAATCTTCAGCACTGAATGAGACAAAGCCACCCCGATGTTCCTTCAATAAACTAGGAATGCAGCTTCTTTAGAAGAAAACTGATAAATGTGTGTATTATCAATTTTAATTAATAAGAAGAATCCTTGCATTTGATATAGCGCCTTATCACGTCGAGACGTCTCAAAGCGCTTCACAGAATATACTGTAAATTTAATTGACTGTTTATTTTGTAGGCAAAACGTGGCAGTCAATTGTGCACAGCAGTGTCACACAAATAGTCAATAGATTGAGTGGCCAAATATTTTTTATTAAGTAATTATTATCCCTGGAAAAGCAATCTGCCAATCAACTAACAACCGGATTCCCACTTACTGCTAGGTAAAACAGAGGCGTGTGGAGTAAGGAAACTTGCCCAACGTTTCGAACCCAGGTCTCTTGATTGCAAGGCGAGTTCTCTAATCACTGAGCTACAGAACTCGACATGCCACATACGGATGAGAAAAAGATACATACAAGTTAAAAAAAATCTAAACTTACCGAGCATCAAAAAGTTTATTCATATCCACCTTTGGCTCCAAAGTGAGACGCCTTTCGAACTCCAAGCTGTGAATTGATCTTAACTTTCTCAGCAATGGGACTTCCCGGTCAGGCTGTAAGGTTTCAGAACGCACCTTCATGGGGGAGCCCAGACTTGGCCCGTTATGTGCTCCGGTTCCAGGGCCATGGCTGTTCTCTTCCTCTGTGCCACCATGTGTTTCCTGAAGGAGAGAGAGAGGAAAAAACACTCATTAGGCAAAACATTAAACCATACTAAAATATGCTTGGGAAATTAGTCTGACATTTTCTGCCTTTCACTGCATCTTGTGAAACAGATGATTTATTGCTGTAAATACGAATACTCAATTGTACAATGTAACTCATTTTGTGCACAATAAGAACCAAATGCTGTACAATTCCCAGTAACTCCCTATGTGAGGAACGTAATAAAGAGAAGCGAGATATGCACTGATGAATGCAGAAGACGAGAAGCAGGATAAGCACCAAAAGAATGAGGGAAAGTAGGACTAGGTCTGTTGAGGATAACTACACGGCTCCTCACAGACCAGCCGCTTGATACTAGGATTTTAACTCAGGTTACATTACTGCAATTCAGTAGCTGGATGTAGATGTAATTTCAGGATGAAATCTTATTTGAAGAGTTGTCAGCCACAGCTTCACTTTGCATTGAAAGCCACGGTGTACACCAAGTCAAATTGCTTTCCTTTTCTAAAGCATCCTAACTTTATAAATATTTCTATGCCAAAAGTTATAAACTTAGGTTTGTCAGTGCAGCCCTATGAACAACAGCACTCAAACTACCAAAAATGCCATAGAGGGTTGACTTGACTCTGACATTCCTTTGTCAAGCATGTCACCTTGGACCAGTTCAGCCTTCGTACACATCTGATTTACCGAAGTAATATTCAGGATCTCCATTGAGTGCACAATAAAAGCAGTGAGAGGATTTTTTTTAAACTGCATTTATTTGAGGAATCTGGTAACATCACACTTAAAAGTCCACATTAATTGTGATTATCCATATCAATAAGTTGTCTATAAACTCCATATTCTGTATTGACAGATGCGTTTCAGTGTAACAGTACAGCAATTATTTACTTTTTTCTTTCATGTGTGGAAGAGCTTTTTTTTTGGGTGGGGGTGTGGGGGGTGGTGTGGAAAGTAAGAGGGAGCAGGGCTGATGGAGATGAAGATGTGGATGAAATCTTTAGCTGCCGGGGGGCAGCAGTGGCAGAGACAGGTGAAGCAGTAGAGCTGAGGGAAAGGAAGGGACAGTCAGGATGTAGCGATTGGAGGACAGTTTGGGGTTGAACAACCCCACATAGGTCAATGTGATCAGTGTCTGAGGAAAGGTGTTGACAGGAGCTAAGCAGAAGAATCTCAGCCTTACTGGCATTGAGCTACAGAAAGTTGGTGACAATGCAACATTGCACATTGGTGTCAAGAAAGTGTTTCACCAAACCATCAGTCATCCCAAATCCATGGGGATTCCTAAATGGAATGGCAGTCCTAACCCCCAATACATATACTAGCAGGAAAATGACAAACCCCTACTATCTGAAAACAGTTATGGAAATTCATGATTTTTATTGAAGCTCCATTTGGTAAACATACCTTACTGACGGCCATTTTTATTTTGTTTCTGTTAATATCCACATGCTCCCAAACATTCCTCTCGCCAAGGTAAGGACCCTGAGGGTTCTGGAGTTCTGCCATCCTTTCTGGGGAGATGATGCCTGGAATAGCATTCTCGCCATCACTGAGCTGTTCATCCTGCAGGACTTCATCAGTGTTCTCCTTCATCTGGTCTCCTGGTACCAGGGAAGCATTAGCAATTCTGCCAAAACAAAAACGGTATAGGATAGGCACTTCATCCAGATTATGCATCAAAGACAGAACCAAATGCACACAATGACTTTAAAATGAACAAATAAACCCTCATTTCCCGTGACCACAAAATGTCACTGGCAATAAAATGTACTTGGAGTCTACTGTGGAAAGTGCTGTTTAGATCCACATTAAAAACGTACTGGATCAGGAACTACATTACAGAGTTAGTTAGGTATATATTTTTTTCCATCTCAAAGGAATCATAAATACTTGGTTTGCTGTATCAGAGGGTTACAATGAAACACTAATGTATATCCTGGATACATTAAGTGTTTAAGTAATACGTTACATGGATAGGATTTTAATATGAAATTATCCCACTAGCTTACATGCAGTACAAATCATGGTAGGCATAAGAAAGGATCAGAGTTCCTCCAAAAGAAAGGTTACCGTGAAACTGAGCCTTATAAACTGGAAGAGTATCTTGCTCAATGACTGATCTGTGTAGAGTTAGCTGATCTCAATTGAGGTCAGCGCCTTGGGACGTCCTCACGACGTGAAATGCATTATACAAATGTAATTTGTTGTTGTAGTGATGATGGGAATGGTGCAAATGGTGCTCAAAGTCCCTGAGTTAGGTTAGTAGAGGAGGAGAAATCCCTGGTTCTATTGGAATGTCCCATTTGGATTTTGCGCGAATTGGATCAAGGCTGTGTCCACTTGGGGCATGAAATGCTATTGACACACAGGAAACCATATTCAGTGCAAGCACTATCATCACAAGAGGAGGGGAATGAGAAAAGATTTAGAGAGAGAGGAAGAAAGAAGGATCAGTTAAACACAACAATGTCTTTCTTCTGGTGTATGAAACCACTCAAAAATGAGCATATTTTGCAAGCAGGAAAGCAAAAAGACATTTACGGTTTTCCTATTTACATGTACAACTATTAATAACAAATCGGAATCTATTTTTATAAAGGTGCTATAATCTTGCATAAAGCTTTTTTTATAAAAAACAGCCAATAAGATGTTTTAAGGAGATTTAGTGAATGGAGGCTTTGAATCAAGTAACCCCACTGGCCTTCGGTTTATGATTTATTTAGAAAAATGAACGCAAAAGTCATGCACGTTTTATAATGCAATTTTATAGAATAAAATTACAAAGGTTAATCGAGTTTTCTATAGTCTGTTTAGCATTACACACTGCACACGTGTGTGCACGTAAGTGAGCAGAGATTAAAGTCCATGATGAATGTATTTCCCATTCCCACATTTACTCCTTAAGAATGGACTTTCAGATTGAAACAAATTTCACTTCACAAATGATAACTTTGTATACATTCTGTAAATTTAGCAGCTTAACTTTTTTCCTTCAGAAAGGATATCAATGGCTGAAATATTAATGTCTTCTTTCCACTGATTAAATTAGGCTAACAGAAAACATATTGGAAGATGCATTAATCAAGTCCAGTTCCATTACTGACTATGCATTAAGGCTGTTTAAGAGGTTGGGTGACAGAACTGACTGAATTAATATTTTCCAGGATTTCAGTATCAGTTTTCATCAATAATTATTTAATAATTCATTCCAATGTTTGAGTGATAGAATGTGGATTGTGCCCACAATTTGCATCTAGTTAAAACACAAACTTCAAAAGCTTCTAAATGTAATGCAACCTTGACATTAAGTGAATAAGTTGCTAGAAATAACTTTACCAACTTTGATCCAAATGAATGTTATTTTAACTATTAATAAGCCTGGCAGGGTTATAATTTAAGGGGTCTGTGAATTAATATACTCTCCCTCCACCCCACACTTCTTCCTGAAAGCAGAGGTTCACATTAATAATAAGGAACGTATTAGACTGCTGGATCCAAAGAGTAAATTGTGCTTTTCTACAATCAAAAGGCTAATTTGTGGTTCAGACTTTATTATGCACCAGTGCATGGTCTACACAATCTGACTACCATCCACTGGGGTGTTGCATTCATTTGAAGATTAAACTCCTGTAGGGCACAGTTTTACAAATGCAGACCCTTTTAATTAAACATTTTCTCAGATAAACCTGACCGAAAAGAAATCAGAATGCAATGAGCTACGAAAACAAGAATTTAAATCTTCAAAGAAACATCCATGGCAATATTCAACACATTATGTTGAGAGACAGTAATTGCAGAAATACCTGCACAAACTGCATTGTAGGAGTCACGTCTACACTATTACAGGAGCCCAAACCAGAGTGGTCAGATTACAGCCAGTGCTGTAAAATACAGCATTCTGTTTGTGATGGCGTGACTTCCAAATTGGAATCGGCTTCACATAAGCCAATACATTTATCAATATATATACATATCAACAAAGCAAAGAAAGGAACTTTGGGTATGGAAACTTGGCAAAACTCAACAGCTTACAGTTTTTTTTTAAACTCACACAATGTAAGGGTAAGGCAGAAAGTAACGTTTATGTTATCAGAATCACAAGCTTTACAGTCCGCAATAGCTATCCTAATATTTTAAAATAATCTCCTGCTTTCTTTACTTTTATCAGTGACCTTCTGTGTTTAAGTTTTTAAATGCCGCACCCCCCCATCAGATTATTCAGCATTCTTATAAGATTAAAAATTGATATTTGTGATGAAGAGCATTTTGATTGAAGAACAATGTTATGTCCTTCACAAGCAGAAGCATTGTCACAAACAGGCATTACATTTTAAGTAGTTCATTCTATGTGCCAGGAGTAGTAGCTCAACTCCTCGCACATTAACAGCTCACTGTCAGAAATATAAGAATTTGGTGTATTTACCATACACAGGAAAATCTAGTGACAGTGTCAGCCGATTTTTCAAGGCAGGCTCGTTTGAAACCAGAAACCGAAAACTGATCCTTAATAATAATTGTGCAGAACATTTCTTTTTAAAAAAAACATGCTGATCTCAGGTTGAGTTTTTTTTTCCCAATGCATCATCATTGCTCATGGAGTCAGGAAGTTGGCTCTCACAACACCGACCAAAAATGTTAAGATAAATATTTTGGTGAGAGACAAGCTTCCAATTTGGAATCAATTCTGAATTAAGAATTTAAATTCCTGTTTCACTTTCTTACTCCCTCTCCCCATCTCTCGTACACCACACATCCGTTTCTGCCCAAGTGATCTGCATTTCGCCCACAAAATATCCAGTCAATTCACTTTTCAGTATATTCTGTGAGCACTTTGAGACGTCGCGAAGAACCGATAAGCTGGTATATCAAATGCAAGGATTATTATTAATATCCATGGCTACAGCCAATTCACTAGACTGGGACATAAAAATACACTTGGTTTCACTAGGGCTATGTGCATTGAGGGGAAAGACTTAGAAAATGGGCAGCAGCTAAAGCTAACTCACGACCATGGGGCACAGGGCAACAAAATGAAACAGTCCCACAAATAGTCCAGGGTAAGGCTTTTGCGGGACCTTATCCAATGTACTCTAACTCCTAAATTCTTATCAAAACAAAAACAAAAGAGATAAATCTGAACAGCTGTACTGCAGTAGTTTAAATTAGTTAATGGTAAATGTTTTATTTGTGCACTTTGAAAGTTACACCAAGATTTTTGTTAACATCCCATTTCAAATTAGGTGTTCCCACCAGAAAATTTATCTCCTCAGGGTTCCATTGTAATCCTTTTTTTAAGTTAATCTTCAGCTTTCCTAAATCTGAATATTAAAGCAAGCTGGACTAGCCCCCAGTCCATAGTGAGGCCTGTCTCTGCAGATCCCATTTACTCTGTCTCTTTTTCTTTCTTTCTGTCGCTTTCTCTCTGTAATAAAACAAAATAAAAGTTCTTTAATGTTAAAAACCTTGAAATATTTTCTTCTCATTTAGCGCCTCGGACTTTGGTCTTTCTTTCTGCCAAGTTGGCCTTTATTTTCATCAACTCTCTGTGCCACATCTGTACTATTATTGTACCACCAGACTTTATTGTTATGACCTCTTAACTCTAAAATTCTGCCTCCAGGTTCTATACCCTGGCATCGCCTAACTTTATTCAAGACACCAGCTCAACTGTCCTCCACCTTTCTCCACCCCTTAACTTCCAGGCTACTTCAGATATCTACTGTATCTACTGGCCTCCCATCAACTGAACCTCACACAAGCAAACATCACTGCTGCTTTTGCAACATCTGGTAACAGCTCCCAGTACTACTGCAATATCTTGCAGAGATGTTAACAAGGTTATTATTAGCCACTACTAGAATCGATTTTACTGTACCAGTATTTAATTAGATTAACCTACCGAGAAGTATGTTTTTTTTCAAATCAAGTTTTTTTTAGCTAAATACAAGTTATTTGAACCAATTGTTGGAATCCTTTCACAACCTCAAACTACTGTATTAATAAAATCTAGAATCTACAACCCTTCACAATGCAAGTAAAGTTTGTATGTAGCGATAAACCTCCAAGTGCTGTGAAGGAGTTTATTTGTAGAGCAACTAAGGTAGTTAGTTTCCACATCAAAGATTGAACTCGCGGCTTCAATGCTGCAAACACATCAATCTCTAGCTTTCCGACTGTGGATTGACTTAAATTAAGACAATGAAAAGTGTTCACATTGCCACAATAGACGGGGAAAGAATAGTTTCTTTCTATAAAGATTAAAAGGTTAAATAATTAGGAAAAAGGCTATATTAAAGTTTTAAAAAAATAAATTGAACAGAGAGAGAACACAGAAAAGAGAATAGGAGAAAAAGGGTATGAAAGGACAAGCAAAGGTGAAATATTTACTTTATTTGAAGTTGGGTTCGCAATTCTTTTGTAGATATGGTTAATGTTATTATCAAAGACAATCATAGTTTAAATTTTAATATCACACACCAGAGCTGCCTGCATGGCTCTCTCAACCTCACTCTGCATTATGCAATAAAGCATCTTAAGACATCCCAACCCTGAAAACATCATCTGATCAAGTTGTACCTTGAAGTAAATTGTAGTAATAAAGCTATTTCTTAAGTTTGATCTGTTTTTTTCCTGCAAAATGCCATTAATTCAGCATCACAGTGAGCGAGCTATAACCTTGAACTGCTCAGTCCAGAGAGGCAGGAGTTTCTCTCAATTTGACAGCAATCTAAAGGTTGTAAATTAGGGCCACAACTTACTGAGGATAGACAAAGGATGCACGAGACCTGTGTTTGGAGTTATTTCAACCTCCCAATATGAAAGATCTCTGTCACGGTGTAGGGGTTGAATGAGTTATATGGTCTTTCACACACTGGTGAGAGTAGCTGAAACACACTCACGAATAAGATAACCTATTTTGAAGGAATTGTATGAACCACGATAGAACTACAACTTTGGAGCATTACGGTTTATTTCACCCCATGTGAAACATGGACTCTGAAATTCCCAATGACCGCGACCCGATACTGTACTTACCCGAACACAGCAGCTGTCGGCCGTGTATGCAACTGAGGAGTGGTGGAGGTGGTTATCACTGAGAGGGATCCGTCCGTTCCAGTTTTTTCCCAGTCGAACGGGTCGCTGTCAACAACCCCATTTGCTTTGATGCTGCTGTCAAAGACAGACATCAGCAACTGCGGAATAGAGAAGCAAACGATTAATGAAAATCTGAATCTTCTGAGAGGCTTGAAATCACTCCAGAAATTTTCTAGTAATACCAGTAAAAATCACTGAAAGATTTTATTCAGTTCCAGTTCTCATTGCCAGCTGTGGACACCACAGCAGATGCTTCCAGCCAATAACGCCATAAGTGGGCATGGTTGATCACTATGTTCACACTGCAGGTTTGGCATTATGACAGTCAAGAACTGAAAATAATGTGTAAAAACTCCTGTGGTCTGGAATTCAGACAGATGTCTTTCATAACCAAAATAGCTTTGTAAAATTACATAAGAATCATTTAGGTATCTAGCTGTTTCAGTTGGTACCACTCTCGCCTCCGAGTCAGAAGGTTGTGGTTTGAAGCCCCATGTTAGAGCTATGAACACACACAGTCAAGTTTGAGACTCCAAGAAGCACTGGGGATGCATGCACAGTGAGAAGTGCCATCCTTTGGAGGAGATGTTAAACTGAGATCTGCCAGGTGGACGCTAAAAGATCTCATGGCACAACTCAAAAAGGGAAAGGGAAACAATCCTCCAGACAAAAATAATCATTCATTTAATGGCTGTTAGTGGGACATTTGTGTGCACAAATTGGCTGCTGCATTCTTCTCAAAGGTCTAGAATACAATGGAACGGCATTTAATTTACACGCATTCTAAAATACAATACTTTACCTGGTAATCTGGTTTTGTGAAATAATCTAAACAGAGGACATGATCCAGGAACAGAACAAACTCAGAGGGGAGGTGCTTCAGCATAAGGCGGTGTTCGTACTTCTCTTTTATTAGGCCCACTTGTTCCTGTAAACACAATGCAGAAGGCATACTGTAGTTGGAGTCAAGTGTTTAACTCATTTATATCAAATAGGCAACGTTGAAATCATAGTCTCTACCATTTTATCAAAACACTAAATTCATTCTGCTAATAAGGGAGTATGATAAGAAGTCACAAGTCCAGCACCTTGAAGGGCAATTTTAGAAAATGTGGGCATGTCTCGCCCACAAAATGCAGTCAATTCACTTTACAGTATATTCTGTGAAGCGCTTTGAGACATCTCAACGACATATTTGACTTTATCAAATGTAAGGATTATCATTATAGAATAGGCACTAGGATTTTAATCCAAATACAAATGGAGCTCTTCTCAGTGATTGCTGAGTCACTACAACAAGATGTACTGTCTAATGCAATTACCTAAGCTGTTTTGGAATGAGGTTGTGAACATGAATAATTGTTTGGACTAACAAATGTTGTTTGTGCTATCGAGGTAGAATGCTAAGATTATCTGTGAATACAGAAATGATGCATCTTTTTCAAGGAAGATGAATGTGATGCTGGGCACCATTATTTTTCCAGACAATGGTGTTTTACCAATTGGCAGAAACTGATAGACTGACAATGTATTGAAATAAAAAATGTTACTGATCTCTTGGAGGTGGCAATTCTTAGCTGGGTACTGTCCCTGAGAGCGCTTCGAAAATCTCACAGCAGCAGTAAAACCGAAAGGCACAGCATTACCTAGTGAGGATAGGGAAGTCATTCTCACCAGATGTATAACGCCCACTACTTAAAGGAATATTGTGAGTGATTGTCCCAGCTGTCGTCAGTATGCAAGGAATGGATGAATGAAGAAGCATTTTTTTACATAAACATTTCAAATCAAATGTCAGCCATAGATTTTTAAACCAGAATAATATAAACAAAAAGTCAATATTGTTGCGTGACTGGTAGACAATAAACTCACTGCGGCAATAAGCAAAAGCCACAGTTAAAACAATATTTGTTCCAAGATATATTGATAGGCCTAAAAAAATCATAGCCAAAATAAAATAATGATCATTGGTACTATCTAAAATCGAATGATTGTGAGAGCTTTAAGATTTTAACATTGTGAAAGAGATACTGAACTGGAGTTATAGAATCGAAAATAAAAATTCAGATTGTGCAAACTAATACCAGTAGGTGCCAGTTTGCTGCAGCTAATGGATCCATAAGATCAACCTCATGAATACTTAATGACGAATCATTAATAAAAGATGCGTTGTAACAAGGAAAGACATTGTGTGGACACACAACCTCCACAGTAAGGATAAGAGATTGAGTGCAAAGATCTCCCACATGATTATCTGTAAAAATGTCCTTCACAAGCACATGATTTGCTGGCGTGGTCTTTCACTGTCACCCACCACTGGTGCCCGGAGTAAATAAAAACATGGCACAATCAATCAGTTTTATGGGGAAGTTGATAAGATCTTCTTACTTCAGTTTATTTAAAGGAAGCAGAAATACCTTGTCCTTTATCTTCCGCCATGGTAGCTGCCCGACAACAAACTCCACCAACATGTAAAATAAGGACCAGAGGTCATCGTGTCGACCCATCTCCTACATTAAAATAATTTTAATAAGGATAAGAAATTCAAACACTGTCAAAAACGCAAATTAACAGATTAGAGTGCTTCATTAATAATTACAATGATTATGCAACTATATTTTATTCTATCACTGAACTCTGCATTTCAACCACAGCAAAAGTCATCACCATGCAAGCAAGTGAATCGTGAATCCCAAAGTTAGCGGTTTGTCATAAAGTCACAAAGCAGCTTACTGAAACAAATGAGGGGAGTGTGAGAAAAAGTTTGCTGGAATCCATCTCAACAAAGCTATCCTTAAATTTTCTTTTGAAGGTAAAGCATTCCCCAGTACCATATTAACATAAGAAATGTTAGACAAAAAAATACCCAGGTCCATCTAGTTTGCTTTCCACCTTCCTGGCGGCTGCACCCACATATGTCCCGAACTACCCATGTACTATATCTCATAATGTTATTTCCTAAAAGAAAAATGTTAGCAGCAGAGTTGGTAACACAGTCCGTAATTCAACCATCAAACATAAAATATTAAAAAACTAATATTAACAGATACATAACTGCATTTTGGCCAGGCATACCCACTTCCAGTCCCCTTGTTAATAATTATTAATTATGAATGTTTATGTGAATTATGTATAACCATGAGCCTATGGGTATGATTTGTACGATTATCATTGATGTAGTACTCTAATTTACCTAATAAGGGAAAAAGTGCCTTTGCTTAAAGAAAGCGAACGACCGAATGATCTGAGAAATTTTAAAGTCAGCAGAAAGACGGGTTTGACTCAAGCAACAGGCTGGTACAAACCGGTCCAGGGAGGCAGTTATCAGGACTGACAGACAATTTACATTAAATCGAACAATTGATCATTTCAGGAGCGAAGAACAGTTTCAAGGCCGAGGCAGGGAGGCTGGTACGAGTAGATTGGCAAGGCAGGAGGATAGTCACGAGAGCTGAAAGGAACGCGTAGGACCCCATCACTAAGGGGTGCCAGCACAATAAGTAACATGTGCAGAGTCAGCATAGTTTTCAGAAGTAACTAAGTTAAAGAATGGACAAAGGTCAAGAAGAAAGATACAGGAATGTTGAACTAAGAGCACTCCTGAACGAGTTAACTGAATTACGAGAGCAAGGGTCAAAAGATAGGAGATGCAGGACAATGACCAGGAAAGATCTGGCTATTGTCCGGATGCTGCTAGAAGGTATAAAAATAGGAATAGAACCAAAGGGAAAGCGTGTGTGTTTCTCATTGAGGAGAAGACAGGGTTGAAGAGCCCTGTAGTTACTCTTGTGAAGGGCTGACATCTTTATGGGCTGAGCCCCAGAGACGCGGGATGGAGAGCAGCTTTGCCCACATTCTAAGACAGTCCTTCGATCGTCTGAGATTTGGTATTTTTCGATTCCAAAAAGAGGAAGAGACGGAGACAGAACGGATAGTAAAAGGAGAGGGACAACAGGCAGAGCAGATCATCCGGCAACTCATTCTATTGACTGTACAGCGGGTGGTATCCGTCGATACCAGATTTGGGGAGAGATGAGTGAGAGAATCGTGTGAGCCTCAGACGAGGAGTCGCAACCCAGAGAGAAAGAGCAGAAGGAAGAGAGAGGGAAGCCCTGTCAGTCCATCACCTCTGACCGGATAGTACAGTTCTATTAGAGACACTTGGGTCAGACGGGTCCGACTTAGCGTATCGTCCATTGTGATATTGTGGTGTTTAAATTAGCATCGAATTACTGTGCGAGTCTCGATAACTGTTAATCAAACTATATCCGATCGCTATAAATCAAGCGAATATGATGTACCCACTTCATTAAATAAGAGCATATACCGTCATGATTGTTATATTGTGCTATGCTTAATAGTAGTGTGAGTTGTATGTTACAAACGAATCAGTTACCTAATACTAAAATTAGGGTGTATACCGTAACTACCAACAGAATTTTTACCGATTATAACCCATACCGTTTAATACTGTCATTTTAAATAAAGAAGTAAACCGTACCGAACATCCCTGTGTCTCAGTGTTTGCCAACCACTTCAGAAATTATTTACATCCTGCTAAGTTGTTAGTGATAGGTTAGCTAACTCTAGTGGAGAATGCAGGCAAAAGGCACAATTCTTGAGGTGTAATTTCTTCATGTAGTATTCTATTGTTATAGATGAATATTCATTCAACCTAATTTTTACATTCTTGATGACCTGTGATTAGAATATATACTCAGGGAATAAAGGTATATTTATGAATGGGGATGAAATACTGATAATTGGGAGAGGTGGTGCTAGCTAGATAAGGCAGTGGTCATCCTTTCTGGCTCCACACATTGCTGTTCTATTTACAGTTTCCGTCTCCTGACTTTTTGAGCAAGCTAAATAAAACATTTTATTAATGCAAGTAAGCATTTGGAATATTAATTGCACATAACAAGAGCATCTTCAGCGCCTTGGGACGTCCTCCCAGTGTGAAAGGTGCTTTACAAATGTAATTTTGTTGTTGTTGTTCAATTCCTACCAAAATTGCCTCAAAATATATTTACAATGCCACTATACATTTACAATGCCACAGAGTCAAAATGAAGGGAAATTAGAGCAGCACTGTGATGAATTATTAAAATGCATTTTTTCAGAGCACTAATGAAGACTTTGCTGGTGACAGAGGTGAACAGGGTATTAGTACAAGTTCCTGTATCTGAATAAATTAAACAAATGAAAGACTGTTACGAATAATGCAGTCACTGATATGCACATCAATGAGCTGCATAATTTTTTTTTAAATTTTGACTTCAAAATATCTGGTTAACTCTAGTTTAGACAGCAATTTGATATAACACTGAATGACTGAGTGGGAACTCTTCCAATCTTGTGCGAATTTCATTTCTCCTGAATCACATCTTTCCCAGCCCATCTCAAGCTATACAATAGTAGTATCTTAGATCCCTTCCCTGCTGGATAAATGGGATAAATATGGCACAAGGAATGATGTGTCCCCTCAGAGGAAAAAGGCATTTCCATTTTTAATCCGTGGTGAACTACTCAATTAATACATCACAGTTTTAGGACTTGTTAAAGGGAAATAAGCTGGCAATATTTTTCAACACAGATATTGAAATCAAAGCACCACTTTAAACAATATTTGGTGAATTTGAGCAATGTTTGAGAAAATGTGAAGGAAATGCACATGCAGGAAAATATACCATGACTCTTCATCATACATTGATTTTTTAAAAAAAGTGATCTGCTCTTACTGGAGGTGAAGATGAAATCATTCAAATGGCTGAGCACAAGGCTACACAGAGCTCACATTGATTTGCTTGTCCACATGACGATGAAGGAAGTCTGAATTTTTTTATGATTATGTTAGTTGCTCATTGTTACTGCAGGCAATAAAAGCTGCTTAGAGTCCTATTTATTAGGAATGCATGCCAGAAGCTGTTGAATAGAGAAAGCTGCCATTGAATGCAGCTTTGATACATAATTTTCCTTTAAAAAATGAATAAACCTGCTTTATCATAATATCAAGTGCTGATATTCACCCTTCAACCTTTCAACAAAGCTTTGTTACATACCCTGTTTTTATGTGCGTTGATTGATGCGTAGCGGACAGTGCCTCTAAATCCTGCTACCACGCGAGGCTGAAATGAAAGAAAATATGTTAACAATTCTGTGCCACTATAGCTGTATGATGGAGGTGGGGAATTGGGGCGATACAAGGGAAAGAGAGCCATGGCATTTAGGGGGAAAAAGTTCATTTTTATAGTGTACGTTAAAACGTGTTTTACAATAACTGTCGAGTGCAGTGGCTGTTTTTTGCGGTAACCAGTATAGCCAATTTGCACACAGCAATGTTCAACAAGTAGACATGAAGTGAATTACCAATTAAACTGGAGAAGGGAGAAACTCCCTTCTCTTTTCATATAGGGATGTGGGATTTCTAAAGTAAACCAGAAGAAATAGATGAGACTATCCAAAGAATGAATACATCCAACATCCCACAGCAACTCTCTGGATAGTCAGCCTACACAAAGCTTTAATGTGGAGTTTAAACCAGCAACCGTCTAATATAAGAGCTGAGAGTGCTATCAACTATGTCAAGTTGACACCAGGCAGAAAATGGGACCTTCCTGAGTAACTGTAATGCTCTTTCCTGAGTACTTGTGATAGTCTGTTCTGATCTATATTACTTTGCAATTTTGAAGTACATTTCTAAGAGAACGTAATAGAAGTGATAATAATACTAAGCAGCAGCATTTGAACCATAAAAGTTAAATAAACATCAAATTCTAGATTGCTGTAGCATTAAAACCAAAAACTGGAACGAGATTTCATTTATTCCAAAACTAAGATTATTAAACACTAAAGCTTCTTAATGGGAATTGTTTAAATAACAATTGCAGTACACTTACTCCTATTAATGGAATTATAATATTGAGGAAAAGAGTCAAAGGGCGCTCTGGATTGAATGCAAAACATTAAGCACCTTAGTGAAACACTTTCTAGCACTTTCTTGCTTGGGTTTCTATAGGAACTACGATTTTGAAACTTATAAAAATTGGATGGTTGACAAGATGGACCATGATTTATTCCCTCAAGGTTACCATGCAGATACACTTTAGCCAGTGTGTTGCTGCAGATTCTCTGAATAATTGAAACACTGGGCCAAATTTAACCTTTATTTTAACTGTTTAATTTAAATTTCCCTGATACACTAAAGAACATCCTTCAGATTGAGAATTTAAACCGTGATCCCATCTGCCTGTCCAGGTAGACCTTAAAGATCTGATGGATTTGAAAAAAGGGAGTTTCTCCCAGTGTCCTGACCAACAATCCTCCAAATAAAAGTTGTTCATCATTTTTGTGAGACATTGCTGTGCTCAGTTTGGCTGCCAGGTTCGCCTACAAAATACACAGCCAAACCACTACACTATATCCTGTGGAATGCTTTGAGACGTCTTGATGATGTGATAATACAACACAAATTTACATTTTTATTCTGCCTTTGATGTCAGGATGACCCAAGGCGCTTAATAATACAAATGTCAGTGAGGGAGCTTGGTTTGCTTGGTTTTGCACTCGGGGTGGGTTGGGGAAAGATGACCAAAGTGTAGTCAAAAATTACTAATTATTAAGCATCAAAACATATAAAATCAGGAAGTTGAGAATCAGTGGCAACTGGTCACCTAATTCATAAAGAACAATATAAATATATCAAAATCAGGGAACATACAAGGCTATATTCCCATCTAATGAATTCACATAGCATCTATAATATTGAAATGTCTCGAAACACTTCACAAGTAATTGTTAAGTGCAGCAATTGTATATTTTAGGGCAAACAATATGGAAATCTGTCACTTCACTTACAACATTTTGAGTAGAATCTGAAATTCTAAAGGAAATACATAACTTAATATATGATTTGGTATAGTGCCTTATCACGTCTTTGAGACGTCTCAAAGCACTTCACAGAATATACTGTAAAGTGAATTGACTGGTTATTTGTGGGCGAAACATGGCAGCCAATTCCACAAAGGATTGTCCCATAAACAGTCGTGGATTGAAGTGACCAATTTTATTATTGTTTTTTTTCTTGAAGGATTGTTATGAGGCATGTGGAGTAAGGAAATTTGCTCAAGATTTCGCCCTGCCAGGAGTCAAACCCAGGTTCCTCGCTTGCGAGGTGAGTCCACATACCTACATTATATCTACATACATATATTCTCTCATCACCACCATAACCCGTACGAAACCCACCACCTGTTCCCTTGACCCCATCCCTACCCCTCTCCTTATCTCCCAGCTCCACTACCTTGCCCCTCTACTCACTGACATTGTTAACCTCTCCCTGTCCTCTGGTACTGTTCTCACACCTTTAAAAACCACTGTCATCATTTCTATCCTTAAAAAAATCTTCCCTGGACCCTTCTCTACTCTCTAACTACTGGCCCATCTCCAACCTCCCTTTCCTCTCCAAGATCTTGGAACGAGTTGTTACTTCTCAGCTTTGCTCCTTCCTCTCCCGCCACTCCCTTCTCAAACTCCTCCAATCGGGCTTTCGTGCCGACCACAGCACAGGAACCGCCCTGGTCAAAGTGACATTCTGTCCATCTGCGACCAGGGCTCCCTCTGTTTCCTCGTCCTCCTTAACCTCTCTGCTGCTTTCGACACCGTCGACCATTCTATCCCGATCCACCACCTCTCCTCTCACCTCAACCTCCACGGTGCTGTCCTTGATTGGTTCAGATCATACCTCTCACACCTGCACTTCATCTCCTCAAACAGCTTCTCCTCTAGCCCCCCGGACCGTCTCGTGCAGCATTCCTCAGGGCTCTGTCCTTGGTCCCCTCCTCGTCAACATCTATATGCTTCCTCTTGGTGTCATCATCCGCAGACATGGGGTCAACTTCCACATATATGTGGATGACATACTACTCTACCTCTCTTCCTCCACCCTTGACTCCAGGACCACTGCTGTCCTGACAGAATGTCTGTCAGACATCAAGTCCTGGATGAGAGCTAACTTTCTTCAGTTGAACATCAACAAGACCGAGACTCTCCTGACTGGCTCCCATCAGTGCCTCCTCACCTCAGATACTGACAGCATCACCATCCATGGTTACACACTCCACCTTACTAAGCCAGTCCGTAACCTTGGGGTCTTGTTTGACCCTCAACTATCCTTTCTACCCCACATCTGTGTCATGACCCCGTCTGCCTTCCTCCACCTCGTCGCCCAGTTCTGACACTGTCTCACACCGCAGTCTGCTGAAACCCTCATACACTCCTTCAATACATTGAGGCAAACTCATTGCTTGTCGGCCTCCCAACTCCTCCCTCCACAGCCTGCAGATCATCCAGAACTCTGCAACTCATGGCCTCTCCCACACTAGTCTCCGTAACCCCATCACCCCCATTGTTGCCCAACTCCACTGGCTTCCCATCACACAGAGGACACAGTTCAAGATCCTGGGCCTCACTTTCAAAGCCTTCCACAGTCTTGCTCCCCCCTACCTCTACGACCTCCTAACGCCCTACCACCCTGTTCGCTTCCTCCGCTCAGTGAGCTCCAGACTGCTTCACATCCCCCGCCTTGCTCGCCCCACTATCGGCAGACGGGTCTTCCGCGACTCTGCACCCACCCTCTGGAACTCCATCCCGCAGTCCCTCCATCTCGCCCCTCCCTCGCCACCTTTAAGACCCACCTTAAGACCCTCCATTTTGACCGTGCTTCCCCTCCTGCCCTTCCCCCTCCCCCACCCTCAGTCGGGTCCATAACTCTATCTGTCCAGCGCCTTCCGACGTGAAAGGCGCTATACAAATGTCATTTTGTTGTTGTTGCTCTAACCACTGAGCTACAGGATTCCTTTTTACGCAAAAAAAAGTAGGACAAGTGTAAGATAATGTTTCCTTTTTGTGAACTTAAATGTGCATTCATCTTTCCTCTTCCCTTAGCTAATTTAGCCTTAATTTTCTCTAATAGACTGAGAAGTGTTACAGGCAGTTTTTCTATCCAATTTTTCATTCACATATCGTCATTAAAAAGAGATCCATATTCACTGTAGAGTACCAGCCTACTGGATGCCATCTGCTTAACCATGTACTCCTAGGGGGCTTGGGCAAACAATTTTGTCCAAAATAAAACAGCAACTCAACTCTCCTTCTGGCGATTCCAGATATCTCAAATCCCTGGTCTGGGTCTATTAAGCTCTCTAGGATGATACCCTGCATTAAGGGTGTTATATATATGCAAGTTGTTGTTATTTGAAGCTCTTCATCACTGATGTTGAAGCTAAATTATCACGCTAGTCATATGACTCATTTTTTTCAGTGGGAAGTCAGTTCAATGTCAGAGACCAGTACACTAGTGAGGTTGAAAAACCCAAATGAAAAATAGGACAAAGAAATGATAAGGTGACACCAAACAAGGGTTTTAAAGGCCTGGCAATTTTATGAAGGAAGGGGTGTTAGTTTGCCACAATATTGAACATCAACAAACAATGTTCATCACATTGCCATGTGTTAAAAACTGAGTGTGCATTTGTCATATTTTGAAAAAAACTGTATCCGATTAAGTTCTTTTGTTTACAAAAATAACACAGTTACCGAAAATGTAGCTCTCCAGAACAAAGAGATAGCCACAATGTATTTTCATTACAGTGTCATTGTAAACCATTACCTAAATTCCATCAGATAAAGCAGAAACACTGTCTTCCCGGAGATACATTACAACAGCTCATGGTTCACAGCACTTGCTTGAGGTTGCAGAGCACGGAAATTAAAAATCTAACTGGCTACAATGATAGATGCTTCGTGCACAGTGAATGTTCAACATGCTTTGAGGCTTGTAGTCTTCGGATAATACAATAAGATCCTATCATAAAAACCCTTATAATGCTGGTCACTTATTTTGCTTGGTTGGGGTATACAGCTTGATTCCCAAAATTAAAAAAAATGCAGCCTGCCAAAGTCTTCAGGTCACCGTTGTCACAGAAAGTCACTTTGGCAGCAATCTGATGACCCAAAACTCGGCCTTTTTTTAGCACTATGTGCATGCACAGACTGACGGTTGTTTCTGATCACTGCGTTAAAAGACAGGGGGGTATTTTATAGACGCTCAGCTAATACCTTACAACAG